CAGATCTATCTGAGATCTTTTTATATTTGTGTATATGTCTGCTTCATTTTTATTTTTGTTTTTTCTTTTTAAATCATCTTCAGAGTCTTCTCAGGAGGCTGAGATCTAAGGATCAAATTTCAAAGCCAGTCTAGGCAGGAAAGTCCTGGAGACTCTTAACTCCAATTTAACCAACAAAATGGCGGTAGTGGAGCTGTGGCTCAAATGGTAAAGTACCAGCCTCCAGTGAAAAACGTAAGGGTCAACACCCAAGTTCTGAGTTCAAAGCCCTAGAACTGGCATACACACACACACACACACACACACACACACACACACACACACACACACACATACAATTCAACTAGTTATACAAGGGGGGGTTCAATTGCACAGATGTGTGTATTGCATCTCACTTTGAATCATCCCATGTTTCTTTAATCCCCCACTCAACACCGTCAATTCCTTTCATAACTGTGGAGAATACCAAAGACTGGCTGTAGAATAATTTTTTTTTCTGAACTATTCCTTCTTGATGGATGTTGTGGCCTTTTATTATTGTTTTTCCATTACTCACAGTGATGCAATGAATATCCTTGGGAAATAGTTCCTCAAAGATATGTGCCAAAATTTGACAGATACTTCCAGATGGAATTGGAAAGGCTGGGCTGGAAGTGGAGTCTGTTTTGCATCTGAGTAGATATTGCCAAACTGTTCTGGACTGCTGCTTCAGAGTTCTCCTCATCCTCACCAAAGTGGTGTCTTACGGATCTCTTTTAAGAGATTGTAATTAAAGGGGAAATAATAGCATTGTTGGCTTAGTTGGCATTTCTTTGCTTTTTTGTTTGTTTGTTGAATAATTTGGCTTTTAAAGAGCATAATGAGGGCTGGGAATGTGCATTGCTCAGTGGTAGAGCGCTTGCCTTGCATGCATGAGGCCCTGGGTTCGATTCCTCAGCATCACATAAGCAGAAAAAGCCAGAAGTGGCACTGCAGCTCAGGTGGTAGAGCGCTAGCCTTGAGCCGAAAAGCTGAGAGACAGCGCCCAGGCCCAGAGTTCAGGCCCCACGACCACCACCACCACCAACAAAGCATACTTTGCATCCTCTCTTTCTCAAGTCCCCTGTCTGTCCAAGAGCCCTCCCTTACCTGTATCAAAATCGCCTTTGCAATTTTTCTCCCCTGCTCCTTTACCTTGAAGAGAGGTCACTTGAATTGGCTGACAAAAGCAGAAAACTCAGCACAGATGGTCTATGTCAGCAATTTCCTTATGACTTTGTAAATGCATTTATGACACTGCTTTTACCTGCTGGCATTGCTGCGGTCACTGTTAGTAACCAGATAAAACAATTGTTCGTTGCCATGAACTTATTTATTTATTTTCCAGTCTTGGGGCTTGAACTCAGGGCCTGGGCACTGTCCTCGAGCTTCTTTTTCCTCAAGGCTAGTGCTCTACCACTTGAGCCACAGCTTTTTCTGTGTATGTGGTGCTGAGGAATCGAACCCAGGGCTCTGCATATGCTAGGCGAGCGCTCTACCACTGAGCCACCTTCCCAGCCCTGGTGCCATGTATTTAATGATCAGAATCAACATCTCCCTGAAAGCACCAGTCCTCTCTGACACCTCCCCCGCTCCCCTCTTCCCTCCCTCCCTCCCCCCCCCCCCCCCCCAGCTCCTGGTGACAGCCAGGATGTCCAAATCTAGACTTTCAAAGGCTTGTCTTTCCATGAAGCTTCCCCAAATTCCTTCAACTGTAAGTATCTTTCCCTTCTGAGATTTCTTTTCATGTTACCATCTGTCTGTCTGTCTGTCCATCCATCCATCCATCCATTTATGTTTTTTTTCAGAGGATGTAGAGTAAAATGTAACAACTTCCTTCTGTTGTAAAATCTTTTTTTTTTTGGGTCCTGTCGTGGGGCCTGAACTCTGGGCCTGGGTGCTGTCCCTCAGCTCTTCAGCTCAAGGCTAGCGCTCTACCACTTGAGCCATAGCGCCACTTCCGGCTTTTTTCTTTTTGCTTATGTGGTGCAGGGCCTCAGGCATGCAAGGAAAGCGCTCTACCACTGAGCCACCTTCCCAGCTCCCTGTTTTTTAAAATCTTGTCTACAAAAGTGGTGCTGTGGCTCAAGTGGTAGAGCGCTCGCCTTGAGCTGAAGAGCTTAGGGACAGCACCCAGGCCGAGTTCAAGCCCCACACTGACCACCCACCCAAAAAAAAATCTTGTTTACTAGAGAACTTAGCCATGTAAAAGATGACAGACAAAGCTGGGTCCCAGTGGCTCAAGCCTATAATCCTAGCTACTCAGGAGACTGAGAGATCTGAGGATCTCAGTTTGAAGCCAGCCCAAGGAGAAAAGTCCATAAGACTCTTATCTCCACTAAACTACTCAGAAAAAACTGGAAGTAGTGCTGTGGCTCAAGTGGTAGAGCACTAGCCTAGAGCACGAAGAGGCTCAAGGACAGCACCCAAGCCCTGAGTTCAAGCTCCATAACTGACCAAAAAAAAAAAAAAAAAAAAAGACAAGTCTAAGATACTTAGAAGATCTGATTAAGAGCAAGTAGGAGCTGGGCGCCAGTGGCTCACACCTGCTATCCTAGCTACTCAGGAGGCTGAGATCTGAGCATCACAGTACAAAGCCAGCCTGGGCAGGAAAGTCTGTGAGACTCTGATCTCCAATGAACCACCAGAAAACTGGAAGTGGCGCTGTGGCTCAAGTGGTAGAGCACCAGGGCCCAGGCCCAGAGTTCAAGCCTGACGAAAAAAAAAAAAAAGGAGCAAGTAGGAGAGAAAGAGTAACATCCGCAGAGATTGATTGCTAGGAAGAGAGGTCCAGGATAAAAGAGTTGACAAGACAGTGACCAGGCTTTTGCCTTGTACGCTTTTACCAAGAGGCAGGGATGCTGCCCCTCTCCCTCTTTCTTAGAAAGTTCCTCTCAGTTAAGTCGGGGCACCATGAAGAGCCATGCTGAAGTGCTGAAAAGAGATATTCGTTACACACCACATAGACTGTGGGAAGACAGCCCTTAAGCCCGGCTTCAGTCATCTTCGGGGCACAGACATGAACTATGGGTTTGAATAGACAACTCTGTGAGAGGTGTGCGTAGTGAAGCAGTCTCGGCGCCTGATTGGCCATTAGATCCATCCTTGTCCTCTGAGGTTCTGGGAGAAGGTCCTAGACATTGCAGTAAACTCTCATCGCTTGAGAGGAGGGAGGTAATCTGGCCAGTCCTCTGTCCCGAGCTAGTAGTCGGTCCAAGTGGTTTTCTTCTTTTGGGGGAAGGGTCCTCCCTCTCCTCCTTGTAAGCATGCCCTGTCCTTCTTGGAACCCAAGATGTCTGCCAAGCCATTTCAGGAGAGAATGGCTCCATTCGGAGGACACAGATGTCAAGCAGTGACCAGAACACCCAGCTCTCCTCAGGCCTTTAGTTAATGTGTGGGGCCTAAGGAAGGAGTCAGTGTTTTTGTTTTTTTTTCAGAAACAAAGAAGAATAAGTACCACTTACAGCCTGGCATGCGGGAGGAAGCAGGGGCAGAGGTGCCAATTGAGCGGGGGCAGGATGGGAGCCTGGGCGGAGAACTTTTGCTTCTGCTCTTGGTATGGGCATCATGAGCAAGGGTGTTTGAGTCACCCAGGGAGGCCACACTTCCTTTCTAGTCATTTGGTTGCTTTCAAATTCTCTGCCCACTCTCCATCACCCTCAAGAAATCCTGTACATGGACATCTGTGTGTGTGTGCATACACTTGATTCTTGGTAAGTATAATACGAGTTTAAAACCAAGGAAATGTCAACTACCTTGCTATTGTGACTCCTCCCAAATAGGCTTTTCTGTTTTTTCTCCTCCCCCCACCCCTCCACCTGTCCTGGGCCTAGGCACTGTCCCCGAGCTTTTTTTCTGGCTCATGACTAGTGCTCTATCACTTGAGGCTCAGGGACAGTGCCCAGGTCATGAGTTTAAGCCTCAGGATCGGCAAAAAAGAAAAGGAAACTCTAGAATAAAGTCTTTCATTTATTTGTCTGATACTGGAGTCTAGAGTGAAGGGAAAAGATCAGGTAGTTGAGTCCAACTTTCTAAAAGGAATTTATTGAGCGCCATCTGGTGGTCATTAGGCAGCATGAACACAATTGTTTCCATGCACAAAATCTTGAAAACACATCTTAAGGTAATAGAAATATCCCTTCAGGGGATATTTCTGCAATAGAAACATATCTCTTAGTGGTAGAGTTATGGTTATATATGACTTTGGAAATACGTTGAATAATAATAATAATTATTATTATTACTGGTTCTGGGGCTTGAACTCAGGGTCTGGGCACTGTCCCTGAGTTTCTTCTAAAGGCTAGCACTCTACCTCTTGAGCCACTTCTGGTTTTCTGGTGGTTCCCTGGAGATAAGAATCTCACTGATTTTTCTGCCTGGGCTGGCTTTGAACCACAATCCTCAGATCTCAGCCTCTGGAGTAGCTAGGATGACAGGCGTGAGCCACCAGCATCTGACTGAGCCAGGAATACGTAACAGGGGCTATATGTACTGGGCAGAAGTTCCTCCAGCTAAGCCTGCTCAATCCTTCACAAGTGGGGAAAAAAGCAGAAGTCAGGAACTCTGGTCTGGCTTCTTTCTTTGCCTGGACTTCGTTTTTTTTTTGGGTCCAGTCGTGGGCCTGAATTCTGGGCCTGGGCGCTGTCCCTCAGCTCTTCAGCTCAAGGCTAGCGCTCTACCACTTGAGCCACAGCGCCACTTCCGGCTTTTTTCCTTTTTTGCTTATGTGGTGCTGGGGAATCGAACCCAGGGCCTCATGCATGCAAGGCAAGCGCTCTACCACCTTCCCAGCCCTGCCTGGACTTCTTGTACTTCCAATCATCTGTGTCCCAGGACACTAACGGTGTGTGTGTGTGTGTGTGTTAAACTTTACTGGTAAAGTGAAAACAAGAGTTAAAGGCAGATGTTTTAAGGCAATCACGTTCAAACACAAGCAAGCAAGTGAATGAAAACTTCTAGCCAAGCGTTGTACACTCCTGAGACACCTTTGAATTGTTTTATATTATGCTGACTGGGGGCGGGAGCGGGGGAGGGAAGGGAGGTGTACACTTTTCAGTACGGATTCATTACTGGAAGATCTGAATTCAGACCCGGTTTATTGTGGTGTTTCTGACAGCTGCCGGCATGGAGGGAGGGGCGGCGTCAGTTTCCAGCTGGGGGCACGTTCTCGTGGAGGCACTGTAAGGCCAAGTCTGTCCACTTCATTTCCTGTTCTTTCACAGATTCTGTGGTGCCTCCATTGTCTTGTTCAGGCTCAGGAAGTTCATTCTGAAAAGGCACAACAGTCATTCAGAACAATGATCTGCTTTTACTATTTCTTCGTCCTTTTTTTTTTTTTAAAATAGTAATGGAGCTTGAGTTTAGGGCTTTGCGTGTGCCGGACACTCGATGCGTGAGCAACACAATAGCTCCAGGCCTTTTTGCTCAGATTATTTTTGAGATAAAGTCTAGGGTTTTTGTTTGTGTTTCTAGGACTGCAGTCCTTCTGACCTCAGCCGTTCTCATAGTTGGGATGATAGGCATGCATCATTATGCCCAGCTATTGGTTGAGGTGAGGTCTTGGGGCTTGAACTCAGGGCCAGCGTTCTGCCCCTTGAGTCACAGCTCCACTTCTGGCTTTTCTGGTGGTTCACTGCAGATAAGGATTTCATAGACTTTTCTCCTAGGGCTGACTTTGAACCGTGATCCTCATAGCTCAGCCTCCTGAGTAGCGAGGATGACAGGTGTGAGCCACCAGCACCTCGCTGCATGTCTAGCTTTAGAGTCTCAAGGAATTGCTGGGGCGCTGGAGGCTCATGCCTGTAATCCAAATCTTGCATTTGGACTGGCCAGGAGACTTGCTTTGGACACTCCTATGAGGACTTTCCTGCCCGGGCCGGCTTTGAACTGTGATCCTCAGCACCCGGCTCAGATCGTACCTTTAACCCATCACCCTCACCCTGAATCACGATCAGTGATGATAACCTACCAGTGGTATTGCAACATCTTCATAAGGCAGCTTGTCTTCTCGCCAGGCATCGTCAATCAAATCCAAGATCCTTCCATCTCTCTGTACCTCACTGTCCATTTTCCTGCAGCAATGCTGTAGGTGCAAAAGTTACGTCTTCAGCTGGGTGCTGAAAAAACAACAAAGAACAGTTAAGTCTTCTATGTGAAGACTAAGCAATTGGCATGATTCTCCAGGCTTTTGAGTCCAGAGCCATTCTGCAGTGCATCACCACATTGGGAAAAGCTCATCTTGTATGGGTCAGGTGATAACTTACAGACTGGTGTATAAAGAGTGACAGGAGAATAACACGTCTGTCTCTCTCTCCTTCCTTCATTTTTTGCAGTACTGGGGTTTGAACTCAGGACATTGCACTCACTCGGCTTCTTTAGCTGGTATTCTACCACTTGAGCTGTATCTCTAACCTTGCTTTTTCCTGGTTATTTTAGTTACCAAGTCCCACAGATCCCCCCCCCCCCCCCCCCCCCCCCCCCCCGTTCCCTGCCCAGGCTAGCCTTAAACAGAGCTCCTCCAGATCTCATCTTCTTGAGCAGCTGGGATTACAGGTGTGAGTCAGTGGAGTTTTGCATGACGGCCAATACATTTCTCAACAAAGCTCTAATCATGCTGCACCTAAATGGGGGTTTTCCTTTCCTAACTTGCACATTCATTTCCCGCCCCCCCTCTCCCCACAATCACGGTACCTTTGATGAGTCCCTAATTCAGGACTGCTTGCTCAGTCTGCTCTCCTGCTCTTTTGAGCCCCCCCCTTCCCCCACGTGACATAAATCTCCATTTGCCTTCACCCAAGCCTCAGCATTCCCTGCAACTGAACACTGCCTGGGAATGTGTCAACTGGTCAACCGCAGGCCTGACTCAGACCTCAAGGTGGGAACAATGTTGGCAGTTGAGCTTCCACATGAAACTTGTCACTTTCTGGTCTGATCTCTTGAGAAGAAAAGTGCTCCCCCTCCCCGCCCCCTCAGCCAAGCAAGGGTGGCAGAGCCTCAGGCTGCTCTTGTTTTGCCTTCCCTTCACAATTGCTTCTCTAATTTTCATGGTGTACTGCCTTCCCTGCCTGGCCTGAGGGGTCTGGATGCTTAGCTTCTTTGAGTGTGGCTCACTCCTCATTTTCCTTCTAAAACTGCTGTAATCCAGTGCAAGAGGCTGGCCAGCTTGGAGAGCACTTCTGAGGTGCCCTAAGTTTGGGTTCTGCGTCATCAAAGGCCACCCTTTGTTGCTTCCTGCTACAAAGTGGCAACCCTGAAGGTCTGGCAAGCAGCGAGATACCCCAAGCTTCTATTTCTTTTTTGTTGTTTGTGTTGTCAGTCTTGGGGCTTGAACTCTGGGCTTGGGCACTGTCCCTCAGCTCTTCAGTTCAAGGCTGGCGCTCTATCACTTGAGCCACAGCACCACTTCCGGTTTTCTGGTGGTTCATAGGAGATAAGAGTATCACGGATTTTCCTGCCCGGGCTGCCTTTGAACCATGATTCTCAGATCTCAGCCTCCTGAGTACCTAGGATGACAGGCGTGAGCCACTGGCGCCTGGGTCTCTCAGCTTCTAGTTTTAAGGTGATGGACACTCACGGACAACCAACCTCTGGGTATGGAATTCAACTATGCCAAGCAGTTCTGTGCCCGTCTCCCAGAGTGTATACATTTTCCTAACACATGGTCAAGCCCTGTACCCAGGTTGGGGCAAGGAAGGGTTTTTATTCCTGTATGGATGAATTCAGGCAAAAATGAAGCAAAAAGTGCACAGCTACTTCTGTCAGCAGTGGAGGAGGTGTTAATGTTTTACTCTGAATTAATCTACTACCACCTAGTGGATAAACCAAACAAGTTAAAGGAAACTGCAAGAAAGGTATGCCCAAGTAGTCCTTTCCCCTCTGTCCCATTTGCCCTCCTTTTTCCTTGCCTCTCCCCTATCCTCATTCTTTGCAGCTCTGCCCTCAGGATATTCTCATGGGCCCCTCTGGTCCTTTCCTCAGGATCATACAGATTTCACCTTCTTTTTGGGGGAGTAAAGTTCCAAGGAATCTCTCCAGCTCCATCAGGTTTTCTGTACTTAAATGTTTGTCTCTTATACTAACTTGATCCTTTAGACAAGCTAGGTCAGCTTTCTAACCAATTGGCTTGGACATCATTAACACCAGTTGATGTATGTGTGTTGGACCAATGATTCCTTAATATATCTCGGCCTCAATATCTTAAAGGCCAGAAGCCCTGTCCTACTTGCCATGCGCTGCACTTAAAAGCTCCTTTTCTTTTGAGGGTAGGGATGAGGGGGAGAAAATGGGGGGGAGGGGGAACAAGGAAGGGGTGACACTGACCAAGAAGCATTGTGTTCATAACCTGACTTACGGAATTGTAACTTTGGTAAAATTACTCAACAACGATAACAGTAATATATCTATATGTATAACCATCTCTCTCTATACACACACATATATCTAGGTATATTAAATATACATTATTAAAGGAAACAAAGAAATGTACCATTAGAGAAGGTGGCTCAGTGGTAGAGCGCTTGCCTTGAGCTGAAGAGCTGAGGGACAGGCCCCACGACCGGACCTCCCCCCGCAAAGTACCATTAATCATATGCATCTTTACATAGGCATTTTTTATATGGATCTCCCAATCAATCAATCTATCGCTAGAAAGACATGGATCTCCTTTTCCTCGATGCCAACCCCTCTTCTTCCTCTCTGAGGTCAGTCTCTCGTTCCCAGGGTCAGGCGCTAAGGTAAGTCTGCCTCACCTTCAGGGCAATGCCTGGGTGCAAACAAGCCTCGTGTTCTTTTCTTATTTTTCCCGGGGAAGCCGGCCCACTGTTGCAGACCTCTTCGCTTCTAGATCAGAACCCCAAGCCAAAGGGCGGGATTCGAACCCACCTCTTTGGCGTTCCCCATTAGATCCCAATGGGGCAGCCTGCCACACGGTTCACACACACACACAGCACTCACGACATCCCTCCCCCCGAGGAAGGCGCAAGCTTTTTCCGGCTCTGATTTTTCTGTCCGTCGTGGGGCTCGAACTCAGGGCCTGGGCGCCGTCCCTGAGGCTTTTTTTTTTTGTGCGCGAGGCTTCGAGCCCCGGGCGCCGCGGTTCACAGCTCCGCGCGTGCGCATTCCGTCCAGACCCGGCGGCGTGAGCCCGCCCACCGCCGTCACTTCCGGCCTGGAGGCTGAACCGGAAGCGACGGAGGGGGCGGGGATGGTAGGGTGGGGGCCGGGAGGCCCAGCCTCGCCGCCACGCCCGGCCGGGTGCGGGCGGGAGCAGGCCTCGGTCGGCGAGGTGACGGCGTCGGCCGGCTGCGGGGACCTCTGAGGCTCCGCAGAAGCTAAGCTGACGCGGGAGAGGGTCGGGGGGAAGGCGAGGGCCCCTTACCCGAGGCGCGTGCAGCCCGCTTCCGTCTCCGGACCACGCCCACCCCGGGCCACGTGACCCACAGATCCCCGGATGTGCCCGGATCCCAAGTAAGACTTTCGTGTCCTCGCGTGTGTGTGGAAAGGGGGGGGGGAGTGGGCGGGGCGAGCGTGCTGACGTCAGAGCCCGGGCGGCGGTGTGGCGGCGACGCGCATGCGCGCTCCCGGCCCGACCCCAAACGGCGGGAAGCTGGCCCCCGGGGGCCCCGTGGGGAAGGCGGCGCTCGCGCGAACGCCGTGGCCGCCTGTGTGCGCTTCCGAGGAGCAGGCTAAGGGCGGGGCGGGGGAGGAGGGAGAGCGTGGCGGTCGCGTCCTGGGTCCGCCGGCGGCCCTGGCCGCCGAGGTGCCGCTGGCCGCCCGGCAGCATGGCCGCAAGACGCCGGGGCCGCCGCCGCCGCCGCCGGCCTGGATCCGCCCCGGCCTGGACGCCTCCGCCCCGCAGCCAGGCGAAGGCGGGCACGGCCGGCCCCGCAGCTGCGGCTGGCCTCGTCAGGTGGTCCAGCCCTTCCCGGTGGGCCCCGGGCGGGGGGTGCGTGGAGGTGGTGCGTGGGGGGGGAGGACGTTGCGGGTGGGACCGCCGCCCTCCGAACCCCGGCTTCCGGCCGAGCCGCTCGCGGGAAGGGGCCCGGGGGCTGCGCGGCGACATTGTGGTTTACGGCAGGTGGTGGCGGCCCGCCCGCCCGCGCGCGCTGCTTTACGGCAGGTGGTAGCGGCCCGCCCGCCCGCGCGCGCCCGTTTACAGTAGGTGGTAGCGGCCCGCCCGCGCGCGCGCTGCTTTACGGCAGGTGGTGGCGGCCCGCCCGCCCGCGCGCGCCCGTTTACGGCAGGTGCTACGGCCCGCCCGCGCGCGCGCTGCTTTACGGCAGGTGGCAGCGGGGCCCGGGCAGGTGGCCGCCGCAATTAGCAGCTGTTAGCTGTCTGCTTAGAACGTCCAGAAACGTGCAAGAAACCAGCGAAGGGCCGGAGACCCGAGGAACCCCGAAGTTTCCTGACGGATCCACACATGCAAATCAGGGTTGGGAAACAGTTTTTGAAAGAGGGGGGGGGAAAAACTTTTTTAAATTATAACTTAAAAAAGTACTGTAAAGGTGACGTACCGAGGGGTCGCAGCTGCGTAAGTCGGTGTAAGAGTGCGTTTCTCTCTCTTTTTTGGACAGTGCCACCCCTCTTCCCTCGCGCTCAGCCCGTTTTTTTCCCCGACCATCCATCCCTGCCCACAAATTGGATAGTTCATTTTCTACGTAGTGTCTGCTGCATTTGCTCACCCATAATACCTAATTTAACTTTTTTAAGCCCGTCCTGGGGCTTGAACTCAGGGCCTGGGCACTGTCCCCGAGATTTTATGCTAGCACTCTGCCAACTTGAGCCACAGCGCCACTTCCGGGTTTTTCTGTCTATGTGGCACTGAGGATTCGAACTCCGGGCTCCCTGCACACTAGGCAAACACTCTACCACTGAGCCACAATCCCAGCCCCTCCCCCCCCCCTTTTTTTTTTGAGGTTTACATTTTAATTACTGAATCTCCGTAGGCCTTTTTTTGTTAACCACATACTCAATGACCCAAATACCCACGGATTTTATTAAATTCGAGAAAATGACCTAATTAGTGGTCACCATGCCAGATGGTCATTAGAAACAGAACACTTTTATTGCAAACGTACTTGGAGACAGTAAGTCTAGATCCCGAACCGCGGGTCTTTAAGTCCCTTTACAAGGGAAGTAAGGATGAATGTGATGCGGTGGAAGACCAGTTTTGATGGATAGTTAACTACAACCTAACTTCATCCGCATTGACAGTTACCTAACAGTACACTTAACTTGCACACTCTAGTTTCCCCTGGGCCTTACATTCACTGCCTTAAACTGTTTAACATTTTTTTTCCCTTTAATAAAGCAATATTGTAGGTTAGATGCCCTTCATTTGTACAGTTCCTCGTATACTGGGATCGGGTGTCTTTTTTTTGAATGAAGACAAAAGGATCATGAACTACACATCTCCCGGTATTTACATTCTTGGTAATCTATTTTCTTTTTTTTTTTGGTTGTTTGTGGGACCTGAACTCGGGCCTGGGCGCTGTCCCTCAGCTCAGGGCTAGCACTCTACCGCTTGAGCCACAGTGCCACTTCCAGCTTTTTTCTGCTTATGTGGTGCTGAGGAATCGAACCCAGGGCCTCATGCATGTAAGGCAAGCACTCTACCACTGAGCCACCTTCCCAGCCCAATATTTACATTCTTAATAGCTACAGCTTACTGATATAATAAAGCCTGTATTTTATTTATAATGCAGTGCTGTCTTTAGGTTAGTTTTTGTCTAGAGCTGCTCGACTTCTGCTTTATTACAATGATCAGTAGTAAAAGCTGTAAAATGCAAGTGGGCTAGAAGTTTATAAAACATTCAGATACATTCTCCCTCTTTTTTTTTTTTTTTTGGTGACTGAACTGAGGCTTGAACTCAAGACCTGGGCCCTGTCCCGGAACTCTCAAGGCTAGCACTTAAGCTATAGTTCCACTTGGGCCGTTTTGTAGTTAATTGGCAATAGGAGTCTCATGGGCTTTTCCTGCCCTGGCTGGCTTCAAACTACTATATTCTCCAATATCTGCCTCCTGAGGAGCTAGGATTTCAGGTCCAGGCTTCACACTGACTTCTAAGATGCACGTAGATTCATGTTTTAAAAACTGTAGAACTTAGGTATGTCGATTGTATGGATGCCATTTCTTCACTTGAAGAAATAGAGGACCTTTGCTTAGTCCCTCCTCCTGTGGAGACAGACGGTTACAGCATCAGTAGTCCACTCTAACATAGTTATTATCTTCCCTGCTAGGTGCTACATTTGCTTGTTTCAGTTCTTACAAAGCCACACTATTATTACACTTACACAAATTAATAAAAGTTCTGTAATGTCGATATCCAGCGAGGGTTCACATTTCTTCAACTGCCCCTTGAGTGTCTTTACAATAGCTTGTTTGGACCAAAATCTCAGACAACCACCCACTCTATCTTTGGGACAGCGCTTTCAAGATCATGGAAATAGCAGTGTCCTCACATCCCTTTACCATTCCAAACGTAGCTGTGTCATGTGGTATCCTTTAAAATGTACCTCTGACCTCAGTAGTTGGGAGTTTGAGCATTTCACTGTCAACATAGCTACTATCCGTAGAATAGCCATCAAGCAACCATGACTTCTTAAATTAATTTTTCATGAAGCTTTGGTATCTTAGTTGCCTTAGCCACACTTACAGTGCTCAGTAGCCCCTTAGTGTCAGGTAACTACTGATTGAGCAGTGCAAGGATTCAGTGTTACTGCCAGTACCGAAAGTTCTGTTGAACCATAGTGATCGAGAAGCTTGATTAGATTCAGCCTTAATTGTTGATGGGCAGAAGTGCGAGAATATTGCACAGGTGTAGATTTCATGTTACAAAAATCACTGCACCTCCTGGGGTAATTATTAGGGAGGGCAGGTAAGACCGGGCTAGCTGTTTCTGGTTGGGACATTAAGCTTTAGTGAGTTGGGGCTGGGAAGGTGGCTCAGTGGTAGAGCGCTTGCCTTGCATGCCTGAGGCCCTGGGTTCAATTCCTCAGCACCACATAAGCAAAATGCAAAAAAAAAAAAAGCCGGAAGTGGCGCTGTGGCTCAAGTGGTAGAGCGCTAGCCTTGAGCTGAAGAGCTAAGGGACAGCGCCCAGGCCCAGAGTTCAGGCCCCACGACTGGACCCCCCCCCCCAAAAAAAAAAGCTTTAGTGAGTTTTAGTGCTGTCTACCCAATCCACCGTGACAATGCCCAAGAGCTTTCCTTTCATGGACTAACAAACACCTGAATTCAGTCATTGCGTGAGGGCTTACAAAGTCGTGATGTTCTAAGTCTTCCTTCAGTATTTATTAGCTGGGAATTGCTTTCCCTCAGCAGCGGCTCAAGAACCCTGTTTTCACAAGGGAAGGCAAGACAAGTACTTACTTCTTTCCCTCTACTTTCAGACTACATCAATGAGTTGGCCTAGCAACCTCCAAAGGTAACCATGAGGGTTTTTGCTTTTTCTACTTAAAAAAAATTATCACACATCTATAGATAATAATGTATAAATTGTCTCAACCTAGACCAATTATTATCTTGTTCTACACTGGGCCAGTGAGAGCCCAGTTCAGTTGGCTATTATTCCATTTGTTAGACCAATAGTTTTGGTAATTTCCTTGCTTTCGGCTAAAACATCCTTGGCTCATTTATACTTTACCGCCTCTAAGATAGGGTATTAAGAGATCACAGTATGGGAGCGTTGTTCTTGCTACTAAGTTGCTGCCACCTGGTGGTCTTGAGGTGATATTACGTTTCAGTTTAGTTTTACTCCTCAAGATACTTTAAACCCAATGAAGATAATGCTGGAACACTCTTAAAATAGGAACTAGGCATCGAATAAGAGATATCTGATCAGTCATGCACAAAAAATATCAGCAGCACTTAGGATAATTTTATTTCTTTTAAGCTAATATATATTTGATCCCAAGGATTCTTAAGCGAGATATTTTCACTATGGTTTTAAGGTCAGGAGTACTGCAAAATATGAGAATTGGGCGTGGTTGGGGGTTGGGACATGAGTGTGAACTCCTGGGTTTGAACTTTAGGACTGTACTTTGTAGTTTACCATAGTCAAGTTCTTTAACCCTCTAAGCCCAGTCCAGCTTCCTCAACATAATAATGTGCCTTTTTTTTTTTGGTTCTGGTACTGGGCTTTTAACTTAGGGTCAGGACACCGTCCCTTAGCTTCCACTCAAAGCTGGTGCTCTACAACTTGAGCCACAGCTTCACTTCTGGCTTTTTGGTGGTTAAATGGAGCTAAGAGTCTCATGGACTTTCTTGTCCAGACTACACACTGTCTCAGCTCTCAGCCTCCAGAGTAGCTAGGATTACTGGAATGAGCCATTGGCACCTGGCTCAATGTCTGTCTTTTTTTAATGTGAATATTGAGATAAAGTATGAAAGACAGCTAGATCAGTTGAACATTTAGTGACTTAACATCTATTAATTATTAATAATGTCATCTAGAAAATATGTTAATGAATTATGCATTACTAAATACTGTTTAAGAATGACCAAAAGAAGTATAATTTTAGTAGCAATAGTTTTGAATAACTAGTAACATTGTCCTCGTGAATAGCATTTTCTTGAATATATAGTAAATACCCATGTCTGACTGTCAGGAACATGGTATTTAGAGTGGACATTTAATTGGCTTTTAGACAAAACTGGGAACAAGTCTTGGTAATTATTGTTGATGCCTTTAATTTTACAGGTGCAAAAACTGAAGTCCAAGAACACATGGCTAGTTAGTTGCAAAGCATGACTATTTCTGGATATCCATCCAGCACTATGTGTACTCTGTACTGTCTCCCAGTTCTCCTAGAATAGGCCACTAGTGGGAATCTGAGTTACAGTGTAATTTAGTTCTTACTGTGGTATGAAAGAAAGTGGTTAGAATGTGGGAGTCTATTTCCTTATGTTTCTATTTTGTGAAATGTTGGTGAAATAGGTCAACTACATTAACCAGAAGAAAAATCTCTGTCATATTTGTGGACCAAGAATGAACACTCCCTGTTAATACCTTTAGAAATAAGGTGCAGTGGTTGTATTTTCCAATCTTTGCTGTCTCCCCCCCCCCCCCCCCCCCCAGTGTTTCTAGAATACCTTGTATTAGTGTCCTTTGCTAGAAAGATGCCTTCTCCTCTACTCCCAACACTAGGCACTGGAAATAATAAGTTATTCGATCAGTCATTCAGGGAGAATTAGGATAGTTTTGCTTGCTATCTAAGATATTTGGGTCTGAAAATGTCAAGAATAATGCTTTTTGCCTCTGTAATCAGCTTAGGAAGTACTGCATTTTCTCATTGAGATTTGTAAGCTTTCATTCACATTCTTAAGCTGAAGTTGCAATGTTAGAACTTAATGACTTCCTTTAGGACTTATTTCTTAGGTTTTCTTCTCCCCCCAGTTATCAAAGCAAAGGGGATCTGGCCATGGAAGCTTTGTTGGAAGGCATACAAAATCGGGGGCACGGTGGGTAAGTGCACTTTTGACCTTGAATTTCTTTCTTTCTTTTTTTGTCGGCTTGGGATTTGAACTCTGGGCCTGGGCACTGTCCCTCAGCTCTTCAGCTCAAGGCAAGCGCTGTACCACTTGAGTCACTGCCACTTCTGATTTTCTGGTGTTTTATTGGAAATAAAAGTCTCAGAGACGTTCCCGCTGGACTCGCTCTGAACCTCGATCCTCAGATCTCAGCCTCCTGAGTAGCTAGGATTATAGGCATGAGCAACAGGCGACTGGCTTGACCTTGAATTTTTACTGGAGTTTTAAACAACCTATATGAATTGTGCTTTGGTACAGAAGCAAAAACAGTGAGCCAAAGCTGGGCTGATCCGTACCACACATGTGGACGGCATTTCTCTATGGGGTTGAATTCATTTCAACAATGGAACACTGAACGCCGCTTTCTTCCTGACTTGAGTTTTGGTTTAAAAAGCCAAATATGGCGGCTCACGCCTGTAATCTTAGCCTGTAGTCAAAGCCAGCCCAAGCAGGAAAGTCCTCAAGACTCCCATTTCTAATTAACCAGCAAAAAGCTAGATTAGAGGTATGGCTCAAGTGGTAGAGCACCAGCTATGAAGAAGTAAGCTAAGAGAGAACTCAAGGCCCTGAATTCAAGTCCCCAATACCAGCAAAAAAAACCCCAAAACCAAAACAAACAAACAAAAAAGCATATTTCACAGGTTGGGGATTTAGCTCAGAAGAAGAGCACTTGCCAGGCAAGGCCTTGAGTTCGGTCGGCAAGTGTAATTGTTAGCTATGAAAATCTCAGTCTAAAAGCCAGATGTCTGTGCTTAACCAAGTTGCAGGCTTTATATTGTTCAGTAGTGGAGGAAACCTTCATATTAGCATTAAAAACAAAAATCTCAAATACTGTTCTTTAATCCTGGCAATGTATTGCCTTTTTTGTTATTGGTCATGGGCTTGAACTCAGGGTCTGGGTACTGTCCCTGAGCTCTGGTGGTTTATTGGAGGTAAGAGTCTGATGGACTTTCCTGCTGGGGCTGGCTTTGCACTGTGATCCTCAGATCTCAGCCTCCTCCTGAGTAGCTAGGATGACAGGCATAATTATGCCACTAGTGCCTGGCTTAACTTTTTTTTTTTTTTTTTTAAGTAGGTTTAATTTGCTTTAGTTTCATATGTGAGGGGAAAAAAAACCCCACTCAGACAAATGTCCTGTATTTGGTCTCTTCCTATTTACAGGGGGATTTTGACATCCTGTGAAGCAGAACTACAAGAGCTCATGAAACAGATTGACATAATGGTGGCTCATAAAAAATCCGAGTGGGAAGGGCAGACCCATGCTTTGGAGACTTGCTTGGGCCTCCGTGATCGCGAACTCAAGGCGCTTAGGACTCAGTTGGATATGAAACACAAAGAGGTAAACCAGTTGATTCAGGCTTCTGTTTGACCTTATCTTTATACTAAACATGTTCACTTGAAAGCAAATTTTTTTTTGTTTTGCTTTTCTAATTCTTACATTTCATCCAGAAGAAAAGCTTATTGTGAAATTATATGATTATTAGTATTTATTTCAAGACCATTTTGCTTTGGACATATACAATGTACACATAATTGTTTCAAAATGTAAAAGATTACCACACAATCTTTGTATAACTTTCATCCTATTACATGTACATATTAACATGTACTGAGTTTGGTGGAAGTTGTTTGGGTCCTCACTGAATGACTCGTTAGCTAAAACAAGTTAAGAGGTTGGGAGTGTGTCTCAGTGGTAGAGCATTTGCTTAGCATATTTGAGGACTTGGGTTTGATACTGCCAAAAAGAAAAGAAAAGTTGAGTCCCTGATTAAACACATTTGTCTCTTTTCTTTGATTTGAAATGAAATCTGGCCTGGGATTATTGCTCGGTATTGGAGTGCTTGCCTAGCATTCACAAAAATCTGGGTTTAATATTCCTACAACATCACACACGTACACCCCATTAAAATCAATCTCATTAGTCATTAATATTGGTAATTATTGGGACCAGTTTAGTTACATACATACGTATACTTAGACAATTTTATTTATTTATTAATTTATCTGTTTATTTATTTTGCTGCCAGTCCTGGAGGTTGAACTCAGGGGCTGGGTGCTGTCCCTGAGCTTTTGTGGTCAAGGCTAGTGTTCTACTACCTGAGCCATAGCTCCACCCTGGCTTTTTTGGCTGGTGGATTGGAAACATGAGTCTCACAAACTTTTCTGCCCAAGCTGGCTTTGAATCTTGCTGCTCAGATCTCAGCCTCCTGAGTAACTGGGATTATAGGTGTGAGCCACCGGTGTCTGGAAGTTTAGTAATATTTACTGACTTCTCATGATATAGCTGGTGCAGTGGGAAGCAATATTGGAAGGCAAGCAGAAAGCATGTTACCTTTGGAGACGTGGGTGGAAGTAGTGACGGGCAAAAGTAATCTGCCTAGTGGAGTGGTGGTCATGGTCAATAGGCTTATTCTCTTTGTGCTAACTTATTGAGCTGTAGTGTTCTGCCTGTATATTTTCCTTCAGTTAATGTTTATTTAAAAATAAAATAATAGATAATTCCTATTTGAGTGGTTGAAATACATTTTGTACATTCCCCCTCCCCCCCCCCCCCCCGTGGGTATTCTGGTTTTGGGCCTGGAAGAGTTTGGAAATGATTAATGGTAATCTCTGAGAATTACATGATTTAGCATGCTTGCCTTTAGCTGTACACATAAAAATTCTTAACCTGTTTTTATGCAAAGTACATTTGCACTTGTATAATTAGTTTATTTCTTTTTGTATTAATGTGTTCTATTCACATGCATACAATTTTCACTTTCTCATTTAGTTTTTCTCTAGAACTACTTGGAAGGATTGGCAGTTTGGGAAGATCTCTGTCCTGTTAATTTCAGTGACATAGTATCACATGAATGTCAGTAGCACAGTTAAGTGGAGTATGAAGCTCTCTCTCTTTTTTAAATTTCAACACCGATAACTTTTTTTTTTTTGCTGGTCATAGGGCCTGAACTCTGGGCCTGGGCGCTGTCCCTCAGCTCTTCAGCTCAAGGCTAGCGCTCTACCACTTGAGCCACAGCGCCACTTCTGGCTTTTTCTGCTTATGTGGTGAGGAATGGAACCCAGGGCCTCATGCATGCGAGGCAAGCGCTCTACCACTGAGCCACCTTCCCAGCCCTGATAATGTTTTATTTTCTAAGAAAGCCAAAGAAGGGTGAATTGTACATCATTGCTCTGTTTCCCCCCCCCCCCCCCGCCCCCCGAATAATTTTCAAGAATTTTTTTCAGTCTTTTTTGGAATAGAATTGCTGTCAACTTTAATTATATAGTGTATTGAAAACAATTTCAAACAGACTGGGAGGAGCTTTTCCAGTATTTTGGTTTGGAATTCTTATTGTTATTGATATTGTTGTGTTACTGGTGCTAGGTTAAGGCCAGGGCCTTATACATGCTAGGCAACGCCCCCCCCCCCCCCCCCCCCCCCCCCCCCGCCCCAGCCCAAATTGTATACTCAGCCTTTAGTTGTTTTGGGACAGAGCCTCACTGTGTAACCCAGGCTGGGCTTGAATTTGCAGTCCTCTTGCCTTTGCCTCCTTAGTGCTGGGTAACAAGTGCCCTGCCATGCCCATGCCCATGCCCAGTTCAGTTACAAATCTAACTTGCCCATAAACTGTCAGTTTCTTTTCTGCATGTATCTTCCCGTGTCTTTAGATGCTGGCACTCCACCAACTGCCTTTCCTTATTGATCGTTAAATGGAGATTAGTGCTCTCTCTCTTGAAAACATTTTACTCTTTTTTTTTTTTTGTGCTGGTCCTGTGACTTGAACTGTAGGCCTGGCTACTATCCCTGAGCTGTGCTGCTCTACGCTTTAGACACAGTGCCACTTCTGGCTTTTTGTAGTTCATTGGAGATAAGAGGCTCTTGGGCGTTCATGCCCAGGCTGGCTTTAAACTATGACCTTCAGACCTTAGCCTTCTGAATATCAAGGATATTATGCCTGGGCATAAACATTTTCCCTCCCTCCCTCCCTCCCTCCCTTCCTTCCTTCCTCTTTCTCTTTTTCTCTTTTTCGCTCTCTTTCTCTCTTTGTTTTATTTTCTGTTTTTGTAGTCTTGGAGCTTGAACTCAGGACCTGCCACTGCCTCTGAGCTCCTTTTGCCACAGCTGTGGTTCCTTGAGCCCCAGTGCCACTTCCATTTTTTTTTCCTGATTATGTGGTACTGAGGAATTGAACCCAAGGCTTCATGCATACTAGGCAAGCACTCTACCACTAAGCCACATTCCCAGCCCTCTTTCTTTCTTAATAGGTAAAATCTGTGTACTTTAGACATTTATTAATCTTGTGTGATTAAAAGATACAGAGAATCAAACTTCCAAGGGATCATGGTAACCAGCATCAATCCAGAACCTTTTCTTTGCTGTTAAGGGGTTCCCCATGTTGCATTGTCCTGGAATCTAGGGAAGGAGACAAGGTCAGGCATCTTCAAATCAGTCTAGGATTAGGCTGACAAACTTCTTTCTGGATCTGGAGTATAGACTTCATAATAGAAGAGAGCTAAATAAGAGGGATCTGATATACTGTAGAGAGAAAGGTGGTGAAGTAGTTCCTCCCACCCCCTTTCTTGTTTATCTTTGGCTTGATAAAATTTAGTCAAATAATTCCTTCACTAGATTTGAGGATATCATAGAATCTGTGCTTATGAAATCATTGAAAGTTGTTGTTTGCCAGTCCTGGGGCTTGAACTCAGGGACTGAATACTGTCGCTGAGCTTCTTTTTGCTCAAGGCTAGCTACCACTTCAGCCACAACACCACTTCTGGCTTTCTGTGAGTGTGGTACTGAGGAATCAAACCCAGGGCTTTATGTATGCTAGGCAAGCACTCTACTACTAAGCCATATTCCCAGCCCTCTAGTTTTTTTTTTAGATTACAATTTCATCTTGTGATGTGATTACTAGTACCAATTTCCAGTTATCCCTCTCCCTTCCTGCTTACCAGTAGATGAAATTTGAGCTCATTGTCGGAAGAAATACTGATAGAAACTTACAGAGCTGAGAGTGCAGCGTCAAATACCTATCACCGGTATGAAATCATTGAAGAATGGGTTGGAATAACTAGAGTACTCTTGGCCTGTGGAACCATTTCTCAAATACACTAAGGCAAATACATCTCCTGTTTCTTTTTGTCTGGGATGGCTAATCTCCACTTTGATTTGTAAAGATTATTCTTAGAGCTATTTTACATAGTAGTCTTAGTTTCCAAGGTTTTTAAATGTTATATCTATTTTCTCATGAGTTCTTTGATGAAAAGGATTAGGGAGAATAAGTCAAATAGAAGATACGAGTTCTAAAACAGTGGTTTGCTCTCCATTTTTTCTGGCAGTGCTAGGTATTTGACTCATGAGAAGTGGGGTGTTAACCATATTTACACATTTGAAGACTTGAGTTTGCAAGTATAAAGGTTATTGTGTGAGCATTTCCATTGCTGTTATACAAGTACCTGAGACAAACAGCTTAACGGAGGACAGCTGTAACTTGAGCCTGTGACCAGGCAAGAACATCACCATGTTGGAAGGGTGTGGTGGAGCCTGGGATACTTACCTCAGGACCGCCAGGAAGCAGAGAAAGGATAGGAAGGGATCAGGGAAAGATACAGTCCCCCTACTTTTTCTACCTGGGCTTCCCTCAACTAAAGTTGCCATCACTTTCCCAATAGTCCCCTCAAATTTTTGAATCTGTCAATGGATTAGACAATTCGTTGATTAAGTCAGAGCCCTCAGGATTTAACCTTCTCTGGAATTTTCCTCACAGGCATGCTTAGCTACTGACAATCAGAATCAACTATCACAGTTATTGTGACTTTTATGTTTCAGCGAGTTCTGTTTCAATGCTAATAACATAAAAATACTATCTGCTTTCAGATTGGAATGTTACATCAGCAGGTAGAAGAGCATGAAAAAATCAAGCAAGAAATGGCCGTAGAGTATAAACAAGAGCTAAATAAACTGCAAGAAGAAGTGAGATTTTAGTTCATATTACATGTTGTTTTAGTTCTTTGTTTTTAAGCATCAAAAATTTTGTTAATGAGATGTAGTTTCTTCTTTGTAAAGTGGACAATACATGTTTTGTGGCAGGGAGAGGGGTAGAAATCTGTCTCTGTTCTTGAATCTAGCCACAGAACTTTGCCTCTATATGATACGATGTAGAACAGGGATTGAGTACCTAAAATGGAGAAGTTGTGTGTGTGTGTGTGTGTGTGTGTGTGTGTGTCTGTGTGTGTCTGTGTGTGTGTGTAAATAAGGCTAAGAAATATCAATGCCAAAAAATGTAGTATTTTAATATTGGCATTAAATAATTTACTAGACTTTAAGTAATAGAGGACCCAAAGGTTAAGGAAACATTTGGGGATACCTAAGAAAAGAAAGAAAATTCTGTCCATTAAGTCAATTTTATTCTTCAGATTTGGGAACAACTGCTTTTGCTTTTTTATTTATTTCATTTAAGTAGTTGTACAAAGTTGTACGAAGTTATACAAATCAGATTATGAGTACAACACTGAATTAATTAATTAATTGCCAGTCCTGGGGCTTGAGCTCAGGGCCTAGGCTCTATCTCTAAGCCTCTTTTGCTCAAGGCTAGCACTCTACCACTTTCTGTTTATGTGGTGCTGAGGAATGGAACCCAGGGCTTCATGCCTGCTAGGCAAGCACTCTACCACTAAGCCACATTCTCAGCCCACATTGCTTTTATTCATAAAACCTTAAGTACCTCTCTTCTGCTCACTGAATATCAGTGCCTGTCAAGGAGCATGGCTTGCGACTCACAAGTCTAGAGGAAAGAAACATTTTCATTTACTGCTTTCTTGTAGGGTTGGTGGTAAGGTTTTTAAGAACGGTACTATAATAAAAACTAAGGTTTTGTTTTCCTTTTTTGATTGAACCATATTTCTTTGCTAGTTATTTTCTACAAGTAATTTGTAAAAAAAAAATTTAGTTTGCAGATTAACATGCTGTCAGTCTGTTTTCAGTAGTACGTCTTGGCACAGTTCTTGCATTCATATCATACTCTTAAATTCTCAGTAACCAAATAACTGTTTTTACAGTTAGGCAGACTGAAGAGAAGCTATGAAAAGCTGCAGAAAAAGCAAATAAGGGAATTTAGAGGAAATACCAAAAACCACAGGGAGGATCGGTCTGAGATTGAGAGGCTAACTGGAAAAATAGAGGTATGTTCACAATGATAACCATAACAGTCATTGCCAGTGATCTTCATGTAGGAAAATGCTGTTTCAAAGTGTTGTTGTTAGCTGGGTGCTGGTGGCTCATGCCTGACATCCTAGCTTTTCAGAAGGCTGAGATCTGATGATTGCTGTTCAAAGTAGGCCCAGGCAGGAAAGTCCATGAGACACTTATCTCCAATTAACCACCAGAAGACTGGAAGTGGAGCTTTGGCTCAAGTGGTAGAGCGCTTGCTTTGAGCTGAAGCGCTGAGGGACAGCGCCCAGGCCCAGAGTTCAAGCCCCGTGACCAAAAAAAAAAGTTTCAAAGTGTTGTTGTTGCCTGAAACCATTTTTCTTTTGTCTGTGAAGGTGATGTTGGATAATTCACTGTGTATCCTAGACTGCTTCCCTGTGGCTAATGAGATTAGTAGTTATTGATGATGCTGAACAACATGATTATACCCTTAAAGGGCATTTGGAATTGTACAGAGACTTTCATTTTTGGGAATAGAATAGTAAGCATGCAGTCGATGTCCTGGGAAAAAATTTAATGTCTTACATGTGAGGAACATAGACCACTGGTTACTAGCAGTCTACCATGAGCAGTGTCCTTGTCTGACATACTATATCTCAAGTATCTCAAGTGGGGGCTTGCCTAATTAATGCATATAGCTTTTTTGGTAGAGAGGACTGTCCTGGCAGATTATTTCTCTTCAGTTCTCAGAGCCAGCTAAGTTAGGGAAGACTCACCTCCCTCTTTGCTGATTTTGTTTTTCCTGAGAAACTCCATGGTTATTTTATGTCTGTTCCCTAGGAGAGTTAACTGAGGCAGTGAGTTGGTACTGCTAAAGTCAGAGGAAGGAGAAACAGCACCTAGAATTCATGTTTTTCCTCCTGTCTCCCTGATGAGCTCTTCAGTATATGTAGGAATCACCCAGTATGCTTTTTTTTTTTTTTGCCTTTCTGAGATTCTATTCCAGTGATATGGCATGGGACTAGGAATCTACATTGTATACAGCTCCCACAGCTGCTTCTCATTTGAGAAATATTATTCTATATCTTTGGGTGATTTCTCTGATCTTTCCTCTCTGGGAAATCTGTCATGCACACATGCGGGTGTATCATTACTACTAAGAATGGTAATTTTTGGGTTTAATGTTTTTTTACATTTCAACATTTTTAGAATTCTGAGTCCAAGGACTACACAGATAATTGCTTCCCTTCCAGCTCTCTTCATTGATAACTTTTTCCTACCAAACTCCCAGGATCCTTATTGCTCATTATTGTCACTTTCTCCTTTGCTTCTACTTCAAAGAACTCATCTTTAATTTTTATATCATCATCCTATACACCACCAAATGAGCATTACAACTAGAGTGGCTGTCTTTTGACTCAGATTTCTGCTCTCAGCTTATTATCATTCCTTCCAGTATTCTTTTTACCATAACTCTTGTTGACGATTTCTAAATCATACAATTCCTATTTCACATCTCACTATAATATCTGACATATCCAAAATAAATTATAATAGTCCTGACTTTTTCTTCCCCATCTTCCTAATCTTAGTACCAGGTAATGGCATGTCTATTTCTCAGTTGCTTGAGCCTAGAATTGAGGAGTTATTCTCAGTTCCGTAGACAGAATGATTCTGTTGAAATACAAGTCAAATTATGTCACCTATACAAAAACCTTCCATTAGCCTCTCTTAAAAGTTAAAATTTCTCCTAACGAGCTCTCCAGTGTCTTGAGCATGTCTCTTCCTGCTTTGCCTTTCAGTCCTCCCTTCATCCCACCCTAGCCTCCTATGCTCATCCTTAAACAAATCAGAGTGCTCCACTTCAAGGTTGATCCTTCTCGTTTTGTCCTCATTTCCCTCAGCATTTGTGTAATGTTATTTACTCAGTCTGGACATCTCCTTTAAAACTCGCAATCGTTTTTTTTTTCTTGTAATTTTAAAAATTATTATAAAGATGTTGTACAGAAAGGTTACAGTTACATATTTTTTTGGGACAATGTCCCCCCTTACTTTGTTTTCCCCCAGTTTCCCCCTCCTGTCCCTGATCATGAGTTGCATAGTTCATTTTCTGCGTAGTATATAATGAGTACCATGACTGTTTGCTCATCCTCCCTCCCTCCATTTCCTTCCCCTTCCTTATGCTCTCCTAAAAAGACAAAACCCAAGAAAAACCCTAGACCAAAACCAAACAACAACATGACCAATACCATTACCACTACCACCACCACCAACAAAAAAAGAAACCCATGTTTCCATTTCCTGGAATTAATTTTTATATAGTATTTTTGATATTCAGAGGAGTTATGAGTTTGGGTTCCTCCTCTAAGAATATCTTTCTTTTAGTCTGTGTGTTTGCATGTAAATGCATAGAGATAGGGCTCTTTTTTTTTTTTTATGATAGAATTTGAGGAGAGCCATTAATTTTGAACTGTTAGACATTTGGTTACAAATACCTCTTAAAATTTAGCACAGATTTGTCATTATTCAAGTCTTTGCAGTTCTGTTGAGATGATAAAAATTTGACTATCAAAAGAGATGTGATATGAATCTGCTCATTTCCTGAGTTATAGATTCTGAGAAGTAGAATTGTGCTGCCAAGGGGATTATCTGAAATTTATTTGAATCTCTTCAAGTCTTGGTCTGGGAGTCAAGACTTTGGATAACAAGGGGTATGTGTGATCACATTTTGAAGTTTTAGTTGGCATCTCTAGAAAAATGAAATCACTCGAAAGCGAAAACAACCCTTAGGTGGCAGCAAATCTGTGATGATGTTCACGAACCCCTTGTCCAGCATCTATTTTGCTTACTCTTCATCATTAGGGTGTTAAATTTAGAAAGACAGGTATCCAGGAGGCACAGTATGAGCAGGATTTAGTGTTAGGCTACAGTTGTGTCAGCTAAGTGGGTAATGGGGCTCCTGCAGAGGAGAAAGGCACCAGAGTCCTCAGGGAAGTGAGAGGGGTGGCATTGAAGCAAAGGGGGTCTGGGAAGTAGTGACCGGAGGGGAAGCACTTAAAAATTAAATGCCTTCATTGTTTCTTCAGGAATTCCGTCAGAAATCGTTGGACTGGGAGAAGCAATGCTTGATTTATCAGCAACAGGTATCTTCTCTGGAAGCACAAAGAAAGGCGCTGGCCGAACAATCAGAGATAATTCAGGTAGGCCAAACAGTGTAACATAATACAAGACAGATGTTTGTTTAAATCTGACTTGACTCTGCTTTTGATATCCCTGGTATAAATGGCCTTCATAATTGTTTCTTTACTTTTACTGTGATTTGTGTTGTTAAGATAATTCCACCCACTTTAGTAGAGTAGTTTGAGTCTCGGACATTAAGCTAATAACAGAAATATTTGGTTTCTGTTAGTGGTTAATGGAAAGAAACAGATTTGAAATATATTAACCTGTCAGGGCAGATATTTAAGAGACATTAATTGAGCTGGCGTTGGTGGCTCACACTTGTAATCCTAGCTACTCAGGAAGCTGAGATCTGAGGGTCACAGTTCAAAGCCAGCCCAGGAAGGAAAGCCCATGAGACTCTTTATCTCCAGTTACACACCAAAAAAGCTGGAAGTGGAGTTGTGGCTCAATTGGTAGAGTGCTAATCTTGAGCATCAAAGCTCAGAGACAGCATCTAGGCTCTGAGTTCAAGCCCCAGGACTGGCAAAAAAAAAAAAAAAAAAGAAAAGAAAAGAAAGATTAAATAATTACTCTTTTCTAAATGGTATATGTGGTTGTTTCTGACTTGTTTAGTATTGGAAGAGGTATTCTAGAGATTAGACTAGTATAGCAGTAGTACAAGTGGGTAGCAAAGATAATTTAAAAATTTCTAGTAGTCACATTAGAAAAGTAAAATGAATTAGTGAAATTAATTTGAGTAATATGCTTTTACTTAACCCAGCATGTCAAAAATATTAGAATATTTATGTTTCTTTTAGTGTGCATTTACATATAGAACCTCTGTCAGTGCAGATAAGCCACAGCTCAGAAGCCGCATGTGTCTCTTGGTGCCATATTGGGTAGTGCAGACCTAGGTGTTAATTAGTTAATGAAAATTTATACCTAAGATGATTGTGTACCAAACACAGACTGTATTTTTGCAGGAGTGAAACAATCAATCAGTGAAAAAAATCTGCTAAGATGTGTGTCTGTCATGAGGCCTGAACTCTGGGCCTGGGTGCTGTCCCTCTTCAGCCTTGGGCTGAAAGCCACTTCTGGCTTTTTCTGCTTATGTGGTGCTGAGGAATCAAACCCAGGGCCTCAGGCATGGGAGGCAAGCACTCTACTACTGAGCCACCTTCCCAACCCCCTAAATAGTTTTTTTTTAAGTAGCAAATCTGTACTAACTGGTTAAACTATATCAGTAACTTCAACATTTGAGTTTGTCTTCAGAGTACAGATTTGAGTTGAGTAGTGTTAAATAGCTCCTGCGTTGTTGAGTGTTTTGCCATGATGTATTGTCTCTCATCTTGAGTACCCATTCACACAGGGTTTCCAGCTGTGTTCTGCCAATCCTAGACTACTGGACAGGTTAAGGTAGGGAGGGCTGAGGCTCAGCAAACAAATCCTATCCTTTCCTCCTCTACCTCCTTACCTGATTTCTGCATGTATTTGTTCTGCACAGGATTCTGTGTAAGCTTTCCTTTTTGGAAAACCTTTGATTTTTTTTTTCTTTTTCTTTTTCTTTTTTTTTGGATACAGGGTCTCATTGTATTGTTCAGGTTGGCGACACACTTGATATGTAACAGTGCCCCGTATTTTTACAGAGTAAATTCTGTTTTAGTATTCCTTATTCCTTGGTTATTCTTTTATCATTTCTTTTTTACCTGTTGATAATCTATGTGTGTCTAGGCTCAGCTCATCAATCGAAAGCAGAAATTAGAGTCTGTGGAGCTGTCCAGCCAGTCAGAAATTCAGCACCTGAACAGCAAGCTTGAGCGGGCCAAGGATACCATCTGTGCCAATGAGTTGGAAATAGAGCGCCTTAACATGAGAGTCAGTGACTTAGTTGGAACCAATGTGGCCATCATGCAGGAGCAGAGGCAAAGAGAAGAAAAATTGAGGGAATCTGAAAAATTATTAGAGGTGTGTTTTAAGATTACCCAAATTGGGGAAATGTATGTATATGAGGGTAAGAATAATCTGCACCTAGATTTCAAAATCTCTTGGCTTCTTCCCTCTTTTGGAGCTGCTGGCTCAGCTGTGGAGAGCTGGATTATTAACAGTGTGCCTGTCACAGATTTGCCATCTGACTTCAGAACTCGAGGGAAGTTGTAATAATGTCTGCCTTTCTTCTGAATGTTTTATAGGCTCTGCAGGAAGAACAGAGAGAATTGAAGGCAAATCTTCACTCTCAAGAAAATATCATCCATGAGACACAAATGCAGAAGGAGGAGCTACAAGCAATGTTAAAGGCAGCTGATATGAAACACACAGTGGAAATCATAAGGTCTACTGATGATTAACATTTTTCTGCTCATGCACTTGATGGTTTGGCATAAATCTCAATTTTAACACTACCTGTTTCTAATTTTGTGTTTGATCATTTCATGGGCTTTCTTCATGTAGTTTTAACTTGTGAGTTGGGTTTTTATACTGTTAGGAAGCTTTGTGTGGTTTTCTTCCTTTTAGTGTATTTCTCCAAGACTTAGATGTTTAAAAGTTTGAAACCACTCAGTCTACCTTCTTGGTGAAACTCGAGATATGAAGGGAATTATGAACGGGCCTCCCTTCTTGGTAGAGTAGACCATTGTAAGGTTTATTATCAATAACAGCCAGTTGTTGAGCTAGCCCTTTAAAAAACATTCTTAACACAGATCTTGCATTGTTTGAGGTTTGTAGTGGAAAATAGTAAGCGTGAGCTGTGCTCCTTTTGTTCCACTCCAGTGAACTCTCTGCCCCTCCCTCCCCATCCCATCCCTTGAAAAATAAGCCAAATTAATTAAGAAAGGGGTAACTTGTTGCTTTTAGAGAGCAGCAGTTCTTTCTTGACTCTGTTCTCCCAAACTGATGGGCTTACCTACCAATAACAATTGGGAAAAATAGAGTACTCCTGTTGTTTCTCTTTGCACAGATACAAGACCTGTAACCATCATCATTTTCCTTCCACAGGCCAATGGAAAATGATGAACTGGAGAGGAAGTATGCCTCTCAAGGGCAGGGGGTCTTGGATGATATGCTCTCTCAGTTGGATTTCACCCACACTAGTGAAGAACTTCTGCAGGCAGAGGTGATCCGACTTGAAGGCAGGTAGATAATTATATATTTATATATATGTACACATTCAAAAACTTCAAATTTTTAAGATGGAGTTTCGATGATCATGTTGACGGAGTTAACTAATACATCAGTGAAAAAGACTTTTCTAACATCCGCAAATGACCATACTTCCCATTTCATTGAGGAGACAGAAGGAATTAAATTATATCTTCCTACTTTTTCTGCCACCAAATCTACCAGTCTGTCTGTGTGTTTGCCCACAATGTGTTACTATGGATGAGCTAGTGGAGGCCTACCTATTGTTCTAAGACTTAGGCATCCATTTGTGCCCTGTTCCATTTGTGCCCTGTTCCTGCAGAAAGGAAATAACTGTTTGCTTTCTGTTCTGTATCAAGTTCTTTCTCTCTGTTGAGTGAGTTCTGCTGATAGAAAATATGCTATTTTATCTTCCATTTAGAAAAAAAGTTAAAATCCTCCTTTAATCCTATGTCTTCATTAAGTTATTTCCTTATTTCTCTCCTCTTAATGAGATTTTGCAATGTTGCCATACCAACTGTTTCACTCTTTTCCTGTGTAGAAGCCCTTCACAAAAGCTTTCCCCCTTCCCACCTCACTGGAACTGTTCCGGGGAGGTCACACTTAACACACAGCACTGCTCCTCTCTGTTTGGGGCCTGGCTGAGATTCCTGTGTGGGCATTGAATCCTGACCAATACCATCCTATCTCATCCCCCACGATGCTCATCTTCCTCATACTTAGGAACTTTTTTTGCTTGTCATACTCCTAGGCTTTTTTTGGGGGGGTGGGGGTGGGGAGGGTCCGGTCGTGGGGCCTGAACTCTGGGCCTGGGCGCTGTCCCTCAGCTCTTCAGCTCAAGGTAGCGCTCTACCACTTGAGCCATAGCACCACTTCCGGCTTTTTTTCTTTTTGCTTATGTGGTGCTGAGGAATCAAACCCAGGGCCTCATGCTACACAAGGCAAGCGCTCTACCACTGAGCCACCTTCCCAGCCTATTCCTAGGCTTTTTGACCGAAAAGGTTTGCTGTTTTATTTTAAATACATTGATTATGATCTCTTGTATATAAACATTTTCTGTATATAAATGCAAAGTTTGGCATGTAGACAAAATAAAAATGGCTATTTTAAACTTTTTTCCCCCATATTTTGCACTTTTTTAAAATCTTTAAGTAATACGTTTTGTTTTTACTTTTCTATTCAAAAATTTTTACTGGTTGGCGCTGGTGGCTCACGCCTGTCATCCTAGTTACATAGGAGGCTGAGATCTGAGGATCACGGTTCAAAGCCAGCCAGGGCAGGAAAGTCTGTGAGACTCTTTTTTTTTTTTTTTTTTTTGTCGGTCGTGGGGCTTGAACTCTGGGCCTGGGCGCTGTCCCTCAGCTCTTCAGCTCAAGGCGAGTGCTCTACCACTTGAGCTACAGCACCACTTCCGTTTTCTGGTGGTTTATTGGAGATAGGAGTCTCACGGTCTCTCCTGCCCGGGCTGGCTTTGAACCGCGATCCTCAGATCTCAGCCTCCTGAGTAGCTAGGATTACAGGCGTGAGCCACCAGCGCTTGGCCTGTGAGACTCTTATCTCCGATAAACCACTAGAAAACCGGAAGTGGCTCTGTGGCTTAAGTGGGTAGAGCACTGGCCTTGAGCAGAAGAGCTCAGGGACAGCACTCAGGCCTGGAGTTCAAGCCCCATGACCACAAAAAAAAAGCCGCTTGAGCCACACTGCCACTTCCGGTTATCTGGTGGTTAATTGGAGATAAGAGTCTCATGGACTTTGCTGTCCCTGCTGGCTTTGAACCAAGATCCTCAGATCTCAGCCTCTTGAGGAGCTGGGATGACAGGCGTGAGCCACTAGCACCTGGCTACTCTTCTGTATTTTTAATTGCTTTCATTACATAAAAAATACATATATGTATTTTTTCCTTATTTCTTACGGTTTTCTTGGAATACTTAAGGTACTGTTTGTTATTGTTATCAGGGTATATGTATATGCTTAAGGCTGAATAACATAGAAATTATTATGTTTTGATAATGACACTTAAATCTGTGTTGTTTTTTTGTGCTGGTCCTGGGCCTTAAACTCTAGGCCTGGGCACTGTCCCTGAGCTTTTGTGCTCAAAGCTCAAATTCTACCACTTGAGACATAGTTGCACTTCTGGCTTTTTTGGGTAGCTAATTGGAGATTAGAGTCTTACAGATTTTTCTTGCCCAGGCTGGTTTTGAACCATGATCCTCAGATCTCAGCTTCCTGAGTGGCTAGGATTCCAGGCAAGAGCCACTAGTGCCTGCCCTCAAATCTGCATTTTTTTTTTTTTTGGTTGGGGGGCTTGAACTCTGGGCCTGGGTGGTGTCCCTGCACTTTTCAGCTCAAGGTGAGCGCTATATTGCTTGAGCCACAGTACCATTTCTGGGTTTCTAATGGTTTATTGGAGATAAGAGTCTCATGGACTTTCCTGCCCAGGCTGGCTTTGAACTGTGATCCTCAGATCTCAGTCTCCTGAGTAGCTAGGATTACAGGCATGAGCCACTGGTGCCCGGCTTCAAATCTGCATTTTATTAAAGATTTTTTATTGATTGACTTTTGAGTAGTCTTATCAATATATATATATATATTTTACTGCTGTCTCGTCAGGCTCTGAGGCCACTGTTTATGACCTTCAAAACCACCCTGGACACCTTAGCCATTCTCTAGGCCCTGATTTTCCCACCTGCAGATGTAACAAGATGACCCTGAGTTTTATTCTCTCAATCTTAGTGATTTGATTCATTGTAATCATATACTAAGTAAAGAGACATTCTAGAATTTTTAAAAATAGGTGAAATTGGAACAAATGCTTGTAAATAACAGTGTCCATTTAATAAATTGGTTTCAAAGGAGAAAAAGGAAGCTGTTTTTGAACAATTTGCTTTGTTTAGTTTGAAAGAGAAATCTTCCCAGAAGAGGAAATAGAGGGATTTAATCTTTTGCCTTTGTGCAGTTGTATTACAAAAACAGTATTTTTGAATGATAACTGATCTGGAAGGTTGGTGGAACCATGTAAGCATTAAGCATTTATGGAGCCATCTGGAGTCATGTGATATAGGTCCTAAGGAGGGAGGGCTATGTTCACAGGGGCATAATAAGTAAAAGACATAGTTTTAATAACAGAGTTTGTAGATTGAGAGATAAAATACACATGTTAAAGCACCTGAGGAATTTCAGCTAGCAAATTTGAAATAAATCCTGGAAAATTTCTAGATTCAGGAATATAAGTTATAAAGAAATTATACTTAATGTGATTAGAGGATCAAGGATTGGATCGTTCTGATAGGGAAAGTATTGGTTTGATTCTTATTTACTTATTTTGTGCTGGTAATAGGCCTTGGAATCAGGGCCTGGGTGTTTCCCTTAAACTGTTTGGTTCAAGGTTGACATTTTACCACTTGAGCCCTAATTTTTTAGATATTGACCATCCATGGCCAGGGAAAGATAAGAAGGTACTGCTAGTCAGGAGGAGATATATGAAAAGACAAGAAGTCAGGCATACATAGTAAGTGGCCAGTGACAGGAAAGTTTATCAGAGATTTTAGGAGTAAAAAGATCAAGTTAATAGAAATAGTATGTAAGAGAGGCTCGATGCCTCTGAAGTTTTGATGTCTCAAGAGAGTTTTTCTTGAGTTAAGAGATAGAAGTAGGACACTTGAAAAGCTATTGTATGGTTGTATGTAGACTATGTGTGGTTGCCATGTAGACTATGATGGTATGCTCATAGTTTCCTTCCTCTCTAGGGAGGAGACACTGGCGAACTCGCTGTTACCTTCACAATTTTATGACCCGTGAAGTTTTAAGCAGAGGGAAAGAGTAGTCAAAAATGTCAAATTTCATTGCCTCTACTGATAAGGAAATGGAGAATGAGTTTTAACTAGGGGTATGAAATGATGTTTAAGGTATTAGGATTTTCTCAACATCATTGAGGAAAATCAGGTAACCTAATTCCTGGATTTCAGAGATTTTACTTTGTTTAAAGTATGTGATTGTCTTTTTGTCATTTAGCTTAGAATCTGTGAGTGCAACATGCAAACAACTGAGCCAAGAACTAATGGAAAAATACGAAGAACTAAAGAAGATGGAAGGACATAATAATGAATACAGAGCAGAGATTAAGAAGGTAAAAGATTTTGTGCCTGGGATCACAACATTGGTGGTATTTATGGAAAGAGGTATGGGTTGACAGAACAGAGGGATCATTTTTTCATGAGAGAAAACTGTTGGGAAAAGTACTATCTTTTGACATCATTAGGGATGTCTTACAATTTTTCAGATAATCAAAGCTTTTAACTCTAAAGCTTTACTTTAAATATATTTTGATGGAAAGTTCAAGCTAACACATAGGCATTCCTTTCTTATAACAAGATATATGATCTGTTATTTAAATCTTTTTTTTTTTTTTTTTTTGCCATTTTTTTGTTTTCATTGCCAACCTTGGGGTTTGAACTCAGCCTGGGCTTTTTCATTTAAAGTTGATGCTCTACCACTTGAGCCACAGCTATACTTTTGGCTTTTTAGTGGTTAATTGGAGATAAGTGTCTCATAGACTTTTTTGCCTGGCCTGGCTTTGAACTGATATCCTCATACCTAAGCCTCTTGAGTAGCTAATGTAATAGAGGTGGACCACTTGTGACTGGTTTATTTAGTATTTTCTTACTGGCTGAGTATGGTTATAAAAGTAAATGTTGTTCTGTGCTATGATGTGGTTAATATCCTCATTGGCTATGTGGATTATATCGTTTATAGATTTTTATATATATGTATGTATATATTATAGTTTCTACATTAAAAGACCCTGGTTGTTCTGTTTGTTGACTTGTATTTTATTATTACTATTTTTGAGACTACTGCTAGCCCCTTTTTCCGCTTTTTTTTTGTTTTGATTTTTGTACCAGTCATGGGGCTGCGTGCTGTCTCAGCCTTTGTGCTCATGGCTAGTGCTCTACCACTTGAACCAAAGGTCCATTTCCTTTCTTTTTTCTTTCTTTTTTTTAATAAGTTTTTTTTTTTTTATTGTGAAAATACCATACCAGAAGGGTTACAATTACCTGAGCAAGGTAGTAAGTACATTTCTTATCAAGCATTGTTGCTCCTCCTTTGTTTTTTCCCCTACCATTCCTGCCCTCCCATCTCCACAACTACACTCCCCGCCCTCCCTTTTCTTTTTTTTTTTTTTCTCCTCGGTGGTTAATTGGAGATGAGACTCTCAATACTTCCCTGCCTGGGCTGGCTTCAAACTGTGATCCTCACATCCACGTCTACTGAATAGCTAGAATTGTAGGCATGACCCACTGACACTCAGTCCTTTTGTCTATTTTCTAGTTATTATCTTCTGTAGACAATAAAACCAGATAAGCAAAATATTTAGATTTGTAACTCAAAAATATAAGCAAAGTGAAGGTGAGAGGTGCTATTCTCTAAATAAAACTTGATGGATTTTGATTTTGATCCTCAGTATTTATTTATTTATTTTTTGCCAGTCCTGGGGCTTGAACTCAGGGCCTGGGCACTGTCCCTGATCTGTTTTTGCTCAAGGCACAGTGCCACTTCCAGCTTTTTCTGTTTATGTGGTACTGAGGAATCGAACCCAGGGCTTCATGCATACTAGGCAAGAACTCTACCACTAAGCCACATTCCTAGCCCCAAATCTCACAGCTTACTGTAAGATAACCATTCTTTTGTTAACTACTAATAGACTTTTTTCATGTATAGGTTGTCTCTTAACTTTTGGAGCTTTTCTTTCTGTTTTTTTATAGTTGAAAGAACAAATTTTGCAGGCTGAGCAGAGTTATAGCTCTGTACTGGAAGGAATGAAGATGGAAATCAGCCAGCTAACTCGGGAGCTGCATCAGCGAGATATCACTATTGCCTCCACCAAGTGTTCTTCCTCAGACATGGAAAAGCAGCTCAAAGCAGAGATTCAGAAGGCAGAAGAGAAAGCAATTGAGCATAAGGTAAAGTCTGAACAAAACTTTATTTGGTATTTTTTAAGATTATGGTTTTGTTTTTTTTTTTGTCTTTTGTTTTTTGTTTTGGTCGGTCATGGGGCTTGAACTCTGGGCTTGGGAACTGTCCCTGCGCTCTTCAGCTCACGGCAAGCGCTCTGACGCTTGAGCCACAGTGCCATTTCCAGTTTTTCCAGTGGTTTATTGGAGATAAGAGTCTCATGGACTATCCTTCCCGGGCTGGCTTTGAACCATGATCTTCAGATCTCAGCCTCTCAAGCTAGGATTGCAGGCGTGAGCCACCAGCGCCCTGCTTTATGTTTGTTTTTGAAGATTGAATTTATTAAAGACATGCTTCCCATAATATTGAATTCTATAAATTGGGATAAGCAGCATGGTGAAGATCGGGACGGAGAGTGAAGTGACAGTACCAATGGTGTGTGCATGAGGTGCTAGGAGCTCAGGCCCCAAAGAAGAGTGGTATCCAAGTTAGGAACCCTGTGAGTCAGATAAGAATGGGCTAGTGAAGGGGGACGACTGTATCAGTTAAGAGAAAAGTAGGTATTAGTGGGGTGAATAGCAGGGACAAAACTAGAAAACAGGGACTTTGAAGGACTTTGCCCCGGGAGAGGGCTTCCTGTGTGGTTGTGAGGTCAGTAGAGAACGTCTTGTAAACAGTGGGGAGGGCAGAGAGGTAGAGAGAGCACCCAGAGCCTTGTATGGCGCAGGATGGCATTCTGAGTAGTGGGCAAGGGGGCGAAATGAAATAGATAGGTCCTGGTAACATTGATGGGCTTGTATTTCGGTGGATAGGAAGAATGAAGAAGAGAGAGTTAGAGATACCAGTCATGATTTAATAAACTCGGGCAAGCAAGTGAAAAGTTATGTTCTCTAGACTTTAGGGCTGGGAAGGTGGCTCAGTGGTAGAGCGCTTGCCTTGCATGCCTGAGGCCCTGGGTTCGATGCCTCAGCAAAAAGAAAAAAGCTGGAAGTGGCGTTGTGGCTCAAGTGGCAGAGCGCTAGCCTTGAGTTGAAGAGCTGAGGGACAGCGCCCAAGCCCAGAGTTCAGGCCCCATGACCGGACCAAAAGAAAATCTAGACTTTAATTTGGGGAAGATGGCAGTTTTTGTGTAAAAGATCCATGCCATAGGGATCTGGTGGAGAGAGCACTAGTTTGGCACATTTGGTTGGAGATAAAACCTGGACTTTGTATGGAAATCCGTAACTGCACCGTATTTAGCTGCACCGAATCCTTGCGTGAAGTTGGCATTTCAAACTCCCAAGAGAATTAGAGAATAAGAAAGTCTACAGAGCAGTGACTTATCTAAACTTAGAATACTTTTTGCTTATAGTGAAACAAATATTAGAATGGAACTAAAAAGAAAACAGCAGGGAGGAGATTAACCAGGTAGTTTTTGCTAAGGAAAAAAAGAAGCCCAGGAAGTCAAGAGTCTTTTAAAGTACGAATAGTCAAAACAGAAAAACTAAAGAAAAATGAAGACTAAAAATAAATGACTGCTTTGTCAAAGAAATGCAAGTCCAAGCGATGCTGGAGATAGATGTCAAATTGGAGAAGGCTACAGCAGGAGAGTGGTTGAGGTTTTACCAGGAACTGAAGCTTTGCCGTTCCTGCCCTGATTATGACTTACGACTATGGAAGCGTCTCATGAATGCTGACTCAGCTGATAACATGTCTAACACATTCTTTTAGGAAGTGCATATGTATGCAGGTGTGTATGTTTATGAATGAAGAATGTGACTTAGCTTATTGAAAACTACATGTAGAAAGATCTCATAAGACATACATGAATTGCTTCTCATAATTTTTCTATTTTTCCTTAGGAGATTGTGAATCAGCTGGAATTACTCAAGATAGAAAATCGTCGTCTTTCTGAAGTGGTGATGAAATTGGAGTTGGGTTTACATGAGGTACATAAATAGAAACTTAAGTTTTGCTACTATCAAAGACAAATTTTAAGAGCTGGGCGATGGTGGCTCATGCCTGTAATCCTAGCTACTCAGGAAGGTGAGACCTGAGGATTGTGGTTCAAAGCCAACCTGGGTGGGGAAATCCATGATACTCTTATCTCCAATTAGCCACCAGAAAACCAGAAGTGACGCTGTGGCTCAAGTGGTAGAATGCTAGCCTTGAGCTGAAGTGCTGAGGGACAGTGCCCAGGCCCAGAGTTCAGGACCCATGAGCGACAAAAAAAAAGACTTAAAATATCAGTATGTAAATATTGATATGGCAGAGTGAGTGGAATTTTTCTTCTGTAGAAATTAAAAAAAAAAAAGAAATGCAAACAGTGATGTATGTGAACAAAATATGAGTTTCCACACCAGCAGCAGGAAGATAATTTTTTTTTTTGTTGGTCGTGGAGCCTGAACTCTGGGCCTGGGCGCTGTCCCTCAGCTCTTCAGCTCAAGGCAAGTGCTCTACCACTTGATGCCATAGTGCCACTTCTGGCTTTTTCTGCTTTATGTGGTGCTGAGGAATTGAACCCAGGGCCTCATGCATGCAAGGTAAATACTCTACCATTGAGCCACCTTCCCAGCTTTTATATTACGTATAAGATGAAATAGATGTACAGTCTGTGTTTAGGTAAGGGAGACACATATAAAGTGTTCAGCATTGCTCTGGCACTTAGCTGCTGCTTTATTTGTTGTTGATGGTACTGGGTTTGAATTCAGGGCCTCACACTGCTAGGCTACTGTGTTCACCACTAAGCCATTCCTCTAGCTCTTTTTTCTTTTCTCTTTTTCTTTCTCTTCCCTCCTTCCCTCCCTCCCTCCCTCCTTCCCTCCCTCCCTCCCTCCCTCTCCTCTCTCTTTCTCTCTCTTTCTTTCTCTCTCTTTCTCTCTCTCTCTCTCTCTCTCCTTCCTTCCTTCTTTCTTTCTTTCTTGCCAAGTCTTTGAACTCAAGCCCTAGGTGTTGTCCTTGACCTTTTTCCCTCCAGGCTGGTGTTCCACCATTTGAGTTATAGCTCCACTTCCAGCTTCTTAGTGGTTTGTTGGCAACAAGAATCTTGTGGACCTTCCTGCCCAGGCTGGCTTTGAATTGTGATCCTCACATCTCAGCCAGAGTAGCTAGAATTACAGGCCTGAACCAATGGCACCTGACTTCTAGTTCGATTTATTTTAACGGTTATTTTTAGGAGAGGGTCTTGGTTCCTGCTCAGGTGTGCCCCTGAGCTGTGATCTACCCTACTTTGGGTTTCCTGTCATTGCTGGTTATTACAGGCACATGCCATCATGTCGAACTTCCTTTTTGTAGAGAGTCGTGAGGACTTTTCTGCCTGTACTGGCCTGGCACTATAACTTCCCAATCTTAACCTTCCATGGATTTTTTTTTTTTTTTTGAGAACTGGGGTTCTTGCACTTGTTGAGCACTAACAATTTGAGCCCCTTGCAATACTGGTACTGTCACTTAGTGTGCAATAAATGCTAGGTGCATTTTATTTCTGTTACATTTGTGATGATGGTTACAATCTTTTTGTTGTTGGTGGTGGTGGTTGGATGTGGGGCTTGAACTCAGGGCCTGGGTACTGTCCCTGAGCTCTTTGCTTAAGGCTAGCACCCTAACACTTTGAGCCATAACTCCACTTCCTGTTTTCTAGTGGTTAACTGGAGGTAAGAGTCTCACAGATTTTCCTGACTGGGCTGGTTTTAAACCGTGATCTTCATATCTCAGCCTCCTGAATAACTAGGATTACAGGCATTAGCCACTTGCACCTGGCCACAATATCTTTTGGTTATCAAGCATATTTTTACAAAACTTAGTTTTTAAACATGTTTTTACAAGGTGTAATTTGTTTAATCAAGTACTTTAGAATATCTGAAAAACATTTTAGTAGGTGCTGCAATAAAACACAGGATGAATAAGGAAGGATTCTGGTCTTTAAGATATTACAGTTACTTGGTAGGAAGGATAAGAAATGCATACAAGCTCCAGAAACTATAATGAGTAGCTAACAGTGAGTTATTTTGTAATAAAATCCTTGTGATTTTATAAAATGATGTTTCTATTCTGCTCCATCTTCTCGATGTAGGTCAAATGTCCAATGACTAGAAATTTTCTTTTTCTATCCCTGCGGAGAGTATTATGCCTCCAAAAATGCTCCCAACTAGTTCTAATCTCACAGTTATGGAGGCTGGGATGGACGAAAGTATAGAAGGCTAAAAGAATATTTTACTTCAGCTAGAAAAATGGGGAACTATTTCTAAAATCTGTCATGTGGGTAAGATTCTCTAAGCATCATGCATCATGTAAAATTTCTGGATGGCAAAAGATACCACTAAAAAAATTTAACAGAGGAGGAGAAAAGCAATCTATAAACAGATAAAAGATTAATATAAAATGTTCACACATAAGAATTTCTTACAAAGGAAATAAGGAAAAAATAATCTAGTAGGAAAAGCAGGCCAAGAATGTAAGTAGATAAGTCATAGAAGTAATATAACTAACAAGTGAACAAGGAGTGTTGTCCAGCATCCTTACTATTTATTTAAATGGTTAGTTTGTGGCTACCTAGACTATGAAATGAAATAATTTGCAGATGGCAGATGAAAGAACTTGTCTGATTTTGGTCCCTTCCCAAATTCCTGTAATAATATAATGAAAAATTCCCTTCCTTCCTTCCTTCCTTCCTCCTTCCTTCCTTCCTTCCTTCCTTCCTTCCTTCCTTCCTTCCTTCCTTCCTTCCTCCTTCCTTCCTCCTTCCTTCCTTCCTTCCTTCCTTCCTTCCTCCCTCCCTCCCTCCCTCCTTCCTTCCTTCCTTCCTTCCTTCGTTCCTTCCTTCCTTCCTTCCTTCCTTCCTCCTTCCTTCCTTCCTTCCTTCCTTCCTTCAGAAAAGTTGTATGTGTGTCTGGCTGCTTTGGATAGTTGGCCAGGTAAGTGAGTGAGTTGAGTGGATAAACAGTAAATGACTCTGTCTACCCTAATAAAGCCAACAGTAAGTTAGTCGTAAAGAAAACCAAGTGCTAATCTGATTTACACTACAGAATTCTCAAAAGACTCAGAATTGGTAATATTCATTTGGGAGAACTTTATCTTGTGCAGTGATTACCTACTCATATTCAAGAGCTGAGAACACTCAGGGGAACTTAAGCCAGCCTATGATCAAAGATTCTGTTTCTCGGAATCTCTCCTGAAATCTCCATCCAACTGGTAATTCTTTCTTTCCAAATTAAAAACATGCCTGCTAGTCAGCTTTTATATATTACCTTTCATATTCATTTATCTGTAATTATTAATACAGAAATAACTTTGAGAAATAAGGGTGCTTGAATCAAGTGTTATCTTTTTTTTTGTTTTAAAAAATATGGTTAATGATAAGTTTAAGCTTTTTTCTAGGTTATGAGTAACATACAATGTGAACATGCCACACGTCTTATTCAGAATAATTATTAGGAAGTGTCCTTTTTATTTTTACCACCTGGGAAGGTGGAATTACTTTTCCAAAATGAGCTTGGGCTAACAAATGCTATTTCAGTAAACTATCTTAACGAAAGCAGTAGCTTTAATAAAATATTTGCCACATATTAAAAACTGACTAGTTTAAAGTTTAGGTCATAGCCGGGTGCTGGTGGCTCACGCCTGTAATCCTAGCTACTCAGGAGGCTGAGATCTGAGGATCACAGTTCAAAGCCAGCCCGGGCAGGAGAGACCGTGAGACTCCTATCTCCAATAAACCACCAGAAAACCGGAAGTGGCACTGTAGCTCAAGTGGTAGAGTGCTCGCCTTGATCTGAAGAGCTGAGGGACAGTGCCCAGGCCCAGAGTTCAAGCCCCACGACCGACCAAAAAAAAAAAAAAAAAAATTTTAGGTCATCTGTGGTGTAGATGTTCTCTGAAATTTTACCTGACATGGACAACTTGTGGGAGGATTCTGTAACTTACTGTTTCTACTTGTATAGAGATAGTAACAAGTATATTTTAAAGTTTATATTTTAGTTAGATGGATTACGTTTGTCAAGAACATTATTGACTAGCAACCTTTCAGAGTTCTTTTTCACAGAAAAGAGCAAGCTAAATATCACTGAACTGTAAAGATCACTATAATTTTGTAGACTCGTAACTAAAATACGTTGTCATTTGAAGAAAATGGCTCTGTATTACCAAGAAAAACCTAGAATTGAAGGGATAATGAAGTTTAGGATCACAGAGCTGAGCCAGATCAGGTAGTAATTCTCCCCATATAATTGAGTCCTGCCTTATCACATCCAAATTTATATCTGAGTGGGTGCCAAAATTACATGAATGTTATGCAGATGAAAGGTTATTTACTTAAAAGCTGTCCCCCGTCAGCCAGAATTTTTTTTTTAAGTTTTTAGAATGTTTTATTAAAAGTTCTTTCCTTGAGCTTGTTCTCTTGATGTCCTTCCCTGGTGCACTGGGCTCTTGAGCTTTTTGCCTCGGTTTTCTTTTTCCCAGCTTTCCTCCATCTTGGTCCCTCTTTTCTTTAGCTTGGATGTACACGCTGCCTGAGGAAGCCTATTGTGTTTCTAATGTTCCAGTTCCATTTGCTCGAACAAGCAGACTATTTTTCTCTGTTAGTCTAAAGAGGACTAGAGAAAAATACTCAGTTTTTCCAAAGTAAAGAAATTGATTTAGTTACAAATAAAACAAATTCAAATTTTCAACCAGCAGTGTCAGAGATCACAAGTATTCTTGTATAAATTAAGTGATTCTAGTATTCTTTTTTTTTTCATTAGGCAAAAGAGATTTCATTAGCAGACCTTCAGGAGAATTATATTGAGGCATTAAACAAATTAGTGTCTGAAAATCAGCAACTACAAAAAGATTTGATGGATACCAAATCTCAACTGGACATGGTTACCGAGGCGTGTAAACAAAAAGATGACAGGATCTTTAAGGCACCACACAGCAGGACAGCTGAGTTCAACACAGAGTTGAAGTAAAATTGCTTAAACGTTTCTTTTAAATGTGTACTTTGCAACACAGTTCTCATTCACTCGAGAATTAATTCCTGATTCACGCAAAATCAATCATCAAAGGGCCCTGTGTTGAAGCCTGAGGTACAGTGTAAACAGCAAGCTAGGTGCGATTGGGTTAGAGTGGAGGAGGCCATAGAGCACTTTTCATTAGCACTTTACAGTTTGGGGCTGGGGTGTAGCTTGTGGTAGAGCACTTCCTAGCGTGTGATAAAGCCCTGAGTTTGATCCCCGACACGGGAGAAGAAAAAACTAGCTTTGTGCACTCTAGGTAAAAACAACATCTTTATTTCTCAGACTTTTCATGCTGCCTTTTACTTCAACCCTCCCCTTTCCATAAGAAGTAGAACTTGGCTTTTTGTTGTTGGTGGTGTTGGTGTTGGTGGTCATGGGGCTTGAACTCAGGGACTGGGGACTAAACCTGAGCTGCTTTTACTCAAGGTTAGCACTCTACCACACTTGTCCACAGTGCCACGTCTGGTTTTCTAGTGGTTAACTGGAGATAAGAGTCTCATGGACTTTCCTTCCCCAGGCTGGCTTTGAACCACGATCCTCAGATCTCAGCCCTCCTGAGTAGCTAGGATGACAGGTAGAAGCCCTGGGTGCTCTGTTGTATTTTTGGTGAATTAAATTATAGGCTGTTATCCTAAAAAGGAAGCTAAGGACCTCACTGACCTTGTATCACAGGGCTTATATATTTTTCTAGTAAAGTCCTTGTTAACAGTCCCTTCCCGCTCTACCCCTCAATGAGGCTGGGTGTGTTTTATGTGCAGGGTTACTTCCCTGCCCCGACACCAGCCTCTCTGGATTTCTCTGGCAGCCTGTTTGTCCTCCTACTGTAGTGTAAGTGTTTGAGAGCAAGGCCTGGCAGTGGAGGTTGGATGTTTAGATCCTGAATAGGTAAAGCGACACCTGGACTAAGGGGGTCTGTTCCTTTTCAAAATTACAGAGCCCTAATAGTTAGCCTCTTTGTTTACGCTTAAGTCAACATCCCACAAAGCTTCTGTTGAAAAAACAAAAGTTGCTACCATTTTTCATGTGTTCTGTTTTTTAATCTGCCATCCAGGCCAGACCATGGCCATTACAGACACGAAGGAATAAAGACCCAGAAGCATAAAGCAGGCCTCCACTTTGCGAGAGGACAAGCAACGCATAGCATAGACTCCAGGTCCAGGGTCCGCAGCCCCCGGAGTTCTCAGAGCAGCCCTTGCAGCTCCACTCTGTCTTTGGCTTCTAACTATCTGTGTCCGACTGACACTTTGCCTTCAGTGCCGGATACAAACGAGACCAATTCTGATACCAATTCTGACAGTATGAATGACCAAGAAGAGTGTGTATCTTCGGTATGGAAACTTTTCTGACATTACTAGTTCATTAGTTGATTTAGTTTGATTTTAAAGACCAAGAGGGTCATTTTGCTTCTTAGTAATGATCTGTCATAACTACCTTTATTATTATTATTATTATTATATATTTCTGATTTGCAGCTTTGTTCATGAAGACATTCAACCAAAGTCATTTTTTCCACAGTCTATCCTAGTTCTGAAAAATCCTTTCCTGCCTTTTTTTTTTTTCCCCTGAGAGCCAATTCTGTGCCAGAATGGTTGGCTCAGGGAAGATCTTCACCAGCCAAGAAAGCCCGAGGCATAGACAGCACAGGGGAGCAGGGTGTGGGGGAGAGGTGGAGGAAGGCCGTGTATCCGAGGTGTGCAGAGTGGGTCTGGGGTGCCATACACAGATCTTAGAGCTGTGCTGGCCCTGCAGCAGTGCTGGGCTCCACTGGCATTTCGCCTTCCTGCCTGAAGCACTTGCCTTGGGCCTCTCAGCTACTATCATCTGCTGTGGGTGTGTACGTGCTTGGTTATGGTGACTTCATACGTGTCAACAAGTTCATGGAAAGGTTTCTTAAGTTTCCATTTAACTTATATGGCATTCTGAAATCCAAAACAAAACCCTGAAAGCTAACCTGACCCCTCAGTTTAGCAGAAAAACGTTTTGGTACCAAAACCTTCCTGCCCTGAGCATTCCCTGCTCAGTGTAAGTAGCCATGCATCTTGCTTCAAAAAATACCAATGTAGCCGGATGCCGGTGGCTCACACCTGTCATCCTAGCTACTCAGGAGGCTGAGATCTGAGGATCGAGGTTCAGAGCCAGCCCCGGCAAGAAAGTCCATGAGACGCTTATCTCCAGTGAACCACCAGAAAAATCTCGAAGTGGTGCTGTGACTCAAGTGGTAGAGCGCTCGCCTTGAGCTGAAGAGCTGAGGGACAGCGCCCAGGCCCAGAGTTCAAGACCCATGACTGACAAAAAACAAAAATGTAGTTGGTTATGGGATGTTATCTCAGCATTCACCAAGCGAATAGAGTGGATCTCATGCTTCAGAAATTTTCTATTTGCTGTTGCACCATCAGCATGTGGGCATGCACAGAACTGGGAAATATTTGAGTCGCTGGTGGGGATGTTTTCAGGGGAGGTGGTAGAAGGTGACCCTCGGCCTTCCTGACTGAGTGGATGGTGACGGCTTGGGCAGTGCAGTGTAGCGTAAGCACCTCTGCTTTGGGCCAACTGTATCGGGTTTGAACCCCAACTTCAGCAGCAGTTAATGGGCTGGCCTTGGGAGAGTCCTTCAGCACTGAATGTCGTTTCTCTTTTGTAAAATGGAGACCACAGGATCTCCCAGGCCCAGTGTCCAGGGTTTCAGGTTGTAATCTGTGTGAGGCCCGTGTGTGTGAATACCTTGGTGCATTTCCCCTTGGGAGTGGTTCTGTAATTGCCAACTCGGGGTGATGGCAGGACAGAACTTACTGCCAACGAGGACGGTCTACATCTGCCATGCTTCTTCGATCACTTTCCTAAGATCTGAATTCTAAAACATCACCAGAGTAAGTGTTTCAAATTAAAAAGCCTGGACTGGAATTTTAGGGGAGGGAAAATAACTGATTTGAACTGGCGCCTGATCTATTGTAGACCTTTTGTGCTTCAAAATGAAAGTCACACTCTGAATTCTTAGGTTTGAAACGGCAGGCATTAGCTGCATTCTCTTCTAGAGCACGTAAGGCTCTATAGGTCTAAATTGGTACCTAATAATGGCATTTTTTTCACCCTTTCTATTGATACAATTTGGGTCAAGAGGGAAAGATCTGTGTTAATTTTTGCAGAACTTAACTGATTTCTTTTACTGCTCTTGTCATTAGGATAAAAACTAAAGCTTAGCTTTTCAGGGGAAAATATTCTTTTAAAATATTGCTGTTAGAAAATGGCATAAATAGTGCCAGCGTGTGTATTTCTTTCTCTCAACCCATGTCACGATGTGCTCCTCTCCTAGTCTTCCATGCCTGTGTCTCCCCTGGGCTCCATAGCTACCAGATTTTTGGAAGAAGAAGAGCTGAGATCTCATCATATTCTGGAACGCCTCGATGCCCACATTGAAGAACTGAAAAGAGAGAGTGAGAAGACAGTGAGGCAGTTCACAGCCCTCATGTAGCCACTCACCAACCCACACACCGGAAGCGACATTGAGCACCAGGCTCGTCTAAAATTCCACAGGTGATGATGCCTAGTAAAGCAGGTGAAGAGGCCCGGAAAATGCCACTTCTCAATACCTTCTCACTGCACTGGTTTGTTTGAATTACTTCTTCCAGCGGTAATTTCTAAGAATAAACCATTTTGCAGACCTTTTCTCATATGGATATTTCTTACCGGAAAGTGATATTTTTCTCCTGACCAGTGAAATTTGAGTAGGTTCGTACTAATTGAAATAAAGCTTTGATGAAACATTTTGGAAATTCGTTGCAGGAACTTCCTTTTAGGGGAGTGTGCAGTAGAAGCACGGGTTTGAGGTACCCTGACCTGAGTTGAGTCTGGCTGGAAGTCTATGAAGGGGCCAGGCTGAATACCCTGGCAAAGAGCCTCTTGCTCCAGTATGAAGTGGACGAGGTTGGTGGAGGGGCAGGGCCATCTTTAGAGTGTGGAGCCCCGCAGGTACATCCAGTGGGAACATTCAGCATCTGCATCCCGAGAAGAGGTTCCGGGGAGACAGAGGTCTGGAAGTCAAGGCTCAGAAGGCATCCGAGGGCCATGGGAGTTGATTAAGAACCAAGGAGGAGGAGGCAGAGAAAAGCAGATTGCTAGGCTAGGAGCCCTGAAGGATGAGGACCATCGAAGCGGCATCCAGCACAAGAACTGGAACATGCAATTAGGGGTAAGGAGAAAGCAGGTGTCGTGAACTTGCTAGCTCCAGGGCCAAGTCCTATGTTACTTTGCTGCCCTCCATGAAAACATTTCTGATGTTTGTCATTGTTGTTGTTTTTCAGGGCCCTTCTGAGCTCTCTACAATCCCAACCCTCCCCCCTTCCCCCCCTCCCCCATGAAGCTCGGGCTCTCAAGATCACAATGTAACCTCGATCAGTGTGTTTTTCCCTAGTTGGCATTCCTATTCCCCCCTACCTACCTGCCTGGCTGTTCTTGCTCATTCAACATAACTGGCTTTTCCTCTTCTAGACACTTTATTTATTTTTTTCTTTTTGATAAAGATAGGTCATAACGTGGCCATGAACTCACTTTAGCCCAGGTTGGTCTCGAACTTGGAATGTTCTTGGCTTAGCCTTCTGAGTGCCAAGATCAATAATGAATCTCGGGCTCTTCCCAGAGCTGCTTCCTAGCTACCTAGCTGCTTACCGGATACATTCACGTGGATGCCTGGTAAGTACTGTGTGCATCAAATGCTTTCAGCAACAGTCTCGACCTCATGCCCTGGCCTTGTGTGCCATTTTTTTTTTTGTAGGAGCCATCCTAACCCGGCCCATTGGGAGACCCTGTCAGTTCTGCCTTCAAACCCATTTCGGGGTCAACCACTTGTTTTCTACTTCCATAACCCTGATGTAGACTACTCCAGACGCAGAGTCTGGCGGTGCTCTTCCACACCTGAGTCCAGTGATCCACCCACAGAGCCTGCAGAGCTGTATTTGAGGCAGATGAAGAAAGCCATGTCACTGCTAACTCCCTGGGAATCCCTTGGTACTCAAGCTAAAATCCAAATGACTTCCAGTGCTCTACAGAGCCTCAGGGAGCTGGACCCACTCCTGTCACTACCATCCTTCAGCGAGCTCCTCCATGCTGGCCCCCTTTTTGCTTCCTGGGTGCAGAAAGCTTTATTATGCTCAAGACAAACCTTTTGCTCTTTACTTAGAACTCCCTTCTCTCACTAACCTCTTAGCCTGTACTCTGCAGGTCCTCCTGAGTTAAGCCTTTCCTGACAACCATATCTCAAATCTACTTGACCCCATTTTCTCTAGGTTTTTGCCCTGAGGTAGCTCCTCTCTATAGGGTTCACCACTCTCTGGGATACTTTTCTTTCTTTCTTTTTGGTTGGTCATGGGTCTTGAAGTCTGGGCCTGGGCACTGTCCCTCAGCTCTTCAGCTCAAGGCGAGCCCTCTACCACTTGAGCCACAGCACCACTTCCGGTTTTCTGAGTGGTTTATTGGAGATAAGAGTCTCATGATCTTTCCTGCCTGGGCTGGATTTGAACCATGATCCTCAGATCTCAGCCTCCTGAGTAGCTAGGGTGACAGGCATGAGCCACAGGCACCCAGCTCTGGAATACTTATTTGAATGAAACTGCCTGTGTGTTTTCCTGATCGAATCCTCATCACCCTACAAAAGCCCAGCATTCAGGCGATCAGTGTCAGGAGCTCCCTGTCGCTTTCTTTGTGCGGTCTGTCATAACATACCATGTATGTAGCCTTGCTACTCTCCTCTTCCCATACTTTGTTACCAGCTTAGCATGGTTAATACCTAGTTCATTTGGGCATCTTTGTCTTCTGTGACAAAGTTTTGCTTGTCTCCTAGCCATGAGGAGTTTCTCATAATTACTCGTCAATACCCCTCTCCCAGCACTGGCTACCACTCAGTGTCTCTTGAGCTGGTCAACATACTTCATCATAACACATAGCGACAAATACCAGATGAATGGGTATTGTTACTATTCTGCACCTTAGTGTGTATATCTTAAAATGGGGCTAAGAGGACTTATTGGAACTACATTTCTGAAGGCTTTGCAGGCTCTGGAAATACTGTACCTATGTGGACTGGTCTGAGGGGGGATTCTGATGTGCAGACTGTCAAGCATTGGCTTCAGATGGAAGGCAGCTGCTCCTGTTTCCAAGTTTTCATGCAGAACGATGATACACTGACGTCACCGACCACGCTTGAGGAATCATGAGGTACTCTTTCCTTAACTGTATACTGTCTTTCTCCCTCCCTCCCTCCCTCCCTCCCTCCCTCCCTCCCTTCTTTCCTCCCTTTCTGTCGTGGAGCTTGAACTCTGGGCTTGGGTGCTGTCCCTGAACTCTTCAGTTCAAGGCTAGTGCCCTACCACTTCAGCCACAGTGCCACTCTCAGTTTTCTGGTGGTTAATTGCAGATCAGAGTCACAGACTTTCCTGCCTGGGCTGGCTTTGAACCTTGATCCTCAGATCCCATCTTCCTGAGTAGCGAGGATTACAAGTATGAAATAGTTGATTGCTGAAGTTGTTAGGACATTTGGTAATTTTAGCATCTCAATTTTGTTTTTCAAAAATCATTAGCCAGGCTGGGCGCCGGTGGCTCACGCCTGTCATTCTAGCTACTCAGGAGGCTGAGATCCGAGGATCACGGTTCAAAGCCAGCCCGGGCAGGAAAGTCTGTGAGACTCTGATCTCCAGTTAACCACCAGAAAACCAGAAGTGGCACTGTAGCTCAAGTGGTAGAGCGCTCACCTTGAACTGAAGAGTTCAGGGACAGTGCCCAGGCCCAGAGTTCCAGCCCCTCAACCACCACCACCACCACCACCACCACCAAAATCATTATTAGCCAGATACCCAAACCAGTCAAAACTAATTCTGAGTTTTCTAGCTCGTCTTACAAATTCCATGATATGGAGGCTCAAATGAGATGAGAAGGTGAGGGATCTGGTCTGCTTTTGGTGTGCTTCAGTCGTGGTTGGCTGGGTGAGTTCTCTTGTTCCTTTTGCCCTGAATTCCCAAGGAACTTGGGGGAATTGCCTGGATTTCCATACAGGTTTCAACTGGAGGGGGCATGGTGGGAGTCCCACTGCGGGTTGGAGACTGTCTTCCTGTGGGGCCTCATTTGATCTCAACAGGTTGGGAAGGGTCTGGGCTGTCAGAACCAAGAGGTGGAGTGCAGACAACTCTGCAGGCGGACAACCCTGTTCTCAAGACCTAACTCTGCTACTTTATTGGCTGTGCAATCTTGGGCAAGTAATTCTTTTTTTTTAAAAAAAAAATATACAAAATAAGACAATATAAACAGCATCCCTAATACAGACTTTTTGGGAAGATTAACTTAGTTAATAATGATAAGCACTTTGAACACTGTTTGCCATAGCAGGTACTATGTGTCACACTGAATGGAAAACAAATCTACAGCATTCCATTTTGATACCCATCTCACTTCAAACAGTTCTACTTCCCCTCCCATATTCATGCACATAACACCTGGGAAACGGTGGGTGATGGTGTTTCGTTTGCCAAACATCCTTGAATCCAGTACAGATGAGGCAGGTAGCCATAAAATAAGGTTGTCTCTGAGGATGTAAGTGTTTGAGCAGCATTGGATGCAGAATTTCAGAGAAGAGAAAAGGGACTCTTTTTGGCTCGTTCCAGATGTGGTTTGAAATAGCATACAAAACTGCATCAAGAAGAGCCAATCGGGAGAATCAGGGCAAAGAGACAAGAGGGCTTGCAGTGTGGATGGACAAACTAATTCAGCTGTCCAGTTGAGTTGCTAGTGGCTGCCAGGTTCCCTCTGTGCTTCTTAGGGGCAAAAGCAGAGGAGAAAATACTATTGCTTAAAACTTTTTATGAGCTAGGTGGAGATAGGATCAGATTTTGAGACCACTTTAGACAAAAATGTTAGCAAGACCCTATTTCAGAAAACAAGTTCAGGGTAGGTCTGTAATCTTAACTATGCAGGGGTAGGAAAGTCCCTGTCACAGACTGGCTTCAGGCAAAAGTTAGACCCTAAGGAAAAATAAAGCAAAAGGGACTTTCAGGCTAAAGGCATAGCTCAAGACTTGATTTCAAATCACAGTACTTCCAAAATATAAAGAAATAAAGCCAAGTGCCAGTGGCTTAGGCCTATAATCGTAGCTACTCAAGAGATCAGAGATCTGAGAATCACGGTTCAAAGGCAACCTAGGCAGGTAGATCTATGAGACTTTTATCTCTAATGAAAAAACAATAGTCTCAGCCGGGCACTGGTGGCTCACGCCTGTAATCCTAGCTACTCGGGAGGCTGAGATCTGAGGATCGAGGTTCAAAGCCAGCCTGGGCAGGAGAGACCGTGAGACTCCTATCTCCAATAAACCAGAAAACCGGAAGTGGCGCTGTAGCTCAAGTGGTAGAGCGCTCGCCTTGAGCTGAAGAGCTGAGGGACAGCGCTGAGGCTCAGAGTTCAAGCCCCACGACCGACAAAAAAAAAAACAAAAAACAAAAAACAATAGTCTCACCCCAAGCTAGCTACAGCCTGCCTATCCCAGCAAGAAGCATAGTCCTACCTGTCGGTATTCATCATTTGTTTTTTGCCAGTGCTGGGGCTTGAACTCAGGGCTGGGCACTGTCCCTGAGCTGCTTTTGCTCAAGGCTAGCACTCTACCACTTGAGCCACAGAGCCATTTCTGG